AATTCCGAGCTTGCCCATCAAGGCGTCCTCTCCGCATTGCTTCATGACCATGGCAATTCGCGAAATAAGGTCGGCCGCTTGTTGTCGTACTGTTGCTGACTTGTTGTTCAGCCGCCACAGAATAGTACTGACGATTTGTGGCAGGTAAGGTTTGCAGCGCGATCCAAGGGCGTTGACAACAGACCCAAAACCGTTGAGCATGATGATATCCTCCACACTTTGTTCCTGAAACGAGTGCAGAATACCGTCAATCAAGCGTTCCTCGAGACGCTCACCGATATCTGCGGCGCCCAGACTTGCAACGATCTTCTCCACCGTCTCGACGGTCATCTTTCTGTAGGCCTCGCTCTCGTCCTTGAGATTCACCACGATTCTCTCCAAAATCTCACTGACGCCGACCTTTTGGCCGATATCAACCGTGGTTTCGACAACTTGTCTGTAGTTGCGTTTGTCCAACGCCATTCGCCGCACCCAGAAGCTCTTGAAGAACTCATCCAGGACGTGCTCCTTAAGATAGCCTGCAGTGACACCATCAGTACCAGCGCACTGAGACACCACCTTCAGGACAACCTTCTTCATCTCCTCATCCGGTGAGGAGAACTCGCGAAGGAGAATTTCCATGATTTGACTGGTGTAGTAGTTGGCGTACTCCTCGTCCATGAGGGGTATGATAAAACCCACGGCTTTAAGGAAACCTGCCAGGCCCTTTCCTCGTTGCTTGCGAGCTCCGGTCCACAACGGGTTGAGGATGTCGTCGAAACTCTCGATACCGTAGGGGTTCGATGCTTCGGCAAGCGCGGCGATGGCCAAACTGGTAACGGTCCTGACCTTTGTCTGCTCGTCATTGAGGTTAGGGCCAATACAGTCGACCAGACCCTTCAGGTGTGGCAGGACGGCGCAGCCCATTAGGATGGGGATTTGCTGTACAATCTTGACGCCGGTGTGACGGGCCTGCCATGACTTCTTGCTTCGACAGACGGCTCGGAGAAAAGGCAGGAGAGCTGGGATGCCCAGAGCGGACGCAACCACAGCGAACGCTCTGGCGGTTGTGTTTCGGACGTACTCGTCGACATGGTCAATGTCTGGTCTCATCGTGCTGATCATGGTGGCCAGCCCAGCTGCTTTGCTGAGGTTGGAAATGATCTCACGGCCTTCCACTCTTGCATAGTAGTCTTGGTCGATGAGCAGCGGCTCAATGACGACCAAGATCTTGTGGACATATGGCCGCACTAGATCATCGAGCTTGTAAAGAATACGGTCGATGACCTTGACGAGTAAATGTCGCTCTTGGTCTTCCAAAGTCTTCTCCATGAGCAGCGGAAGAATCTGGTCGAAGAGCGGACCGGCTCCAAACTGCCTGGCATTGTCGGTGAGCTGTCTCAGAGCAGTTTTACGCATTGGAGGAGTACCGTTCTTGACTTTCAAGAGCAGCCTCATAATCTTCCTCTCCTTCATTTCCTCCACGCTCAAGCTGTTCTCGTCGGATCCGTCGGTTAGCTTACCGAAGTACGCCATGTCCTCGGCCTTGAAGAACTGCAAGTCGCCAATGCCTGGGATTTCTGCTGGCACAGGCTTTCCGCTTAGCCTGACAGAGTCGGGGTCTTGCATCATGAATCCGGTTTGAGGCGCTGGCGTAGCCATGAGCTTGTGGGCTGGAGCGCGGATCGGGGCGTATCCTGGCGGTGGTTCGAGAATCTTATACCCTTGCTCCTCGCCGGGAAGAAGCATATCCAGTTCCTCGTCGCTCAAAGGCGCGTTGCGTCCTGAAATATCCGTTCCGAAGGTCGTGGGGAGGACAGCACTGCCCGCTTGCGAGGGATGCATCGGTGTGGCAAGCCCCTGGTTCCCCATGGGGGTGGCCGAGGGCGCCTGATCCCATCTTGATCGCTTCTTCGGCGCGTCGGCGGACTCCAAAGACGGGGTCTGGTCCCATCGCGAGCGCTTCGATTTCGCAGGCTCGGAAGACTGGGGAGCTTCCTCATCCGCAGCTTGCACGGTTGAGACATCCCATCTCTTCTTACGCTTCCTTCCAGCAGAGGCAGCATCAGCTGAGTTTGCTTCGGCGTTCTCCTTGCCATCATCCTTCAACGTAGCTTGGGCAACGTTGCCGTCCTCTTCGGGCCCGGCTGCGGCCTTGGCTTTGATTTTGCGGGCAACCTCTTCCTCCTCCTTCTCAAGTTCCCTTCTCGCCATGATATCGCGGTAGCTGGAACCATCCTGGTTGTCGCCGTTGGAAAAGGCATCGGTTCGAACGGGAGAGAGGGCGCGGTCAAACCGGCGCTTTTGGTAGTCGGTTTCGCGATCGGTGATTCTGTTGCTCTTCTCGCCACGGCCCGCCAAGGGGTCGTCTTCCTCAACGCCATCACCGCGTGCGAACTCGTCAATCATGTCACGTGAAGCCGTGTACTGGCCGACGAGACGGCGCGTGTTATCGGTGCCCTCCATCTCGTCATCATCGTCATCGCCGGCAGGGATGGACGTGTTGTATCCGGCAAACTTGTCGACGCCATTGCGATCGTACAGATCAGTATCGAAGCTATCGGTGAGTTTCTGCTTGGTGCCGACGTCAGCACGCTGGGTGGTCGGGTCGAAAGTGCGCGAGCCCTGTTTCGCAGCGGCGGCAGCGTTGCGCTCCGCTTGAAGCTTCCGGACGGTCTCGAAGTCTGCGTCGGACATTTTGAATTATGGGTATTGTGGCTTCATGTCACTTGTGAAGTTGCAAGTGGTCGATCGACGATGGCGGCGCGCATCAGTAATTGTTGTTTTGTTACTGATGAGGCTGACAGGGGAGCCAGGAGTCGTCGCAGGAGTTTGCAATCTGCGCAGGCAAAAGCTTTGCTGTCTCGGACGCCACCTGAAATTCGACGGCCGAACTTTAGCCGAGGAACGCCTAGACACCCCAACTAAGGTACCTAGCCTGCTAGCTCACAGACCTCAACATCGAAAGAATCGCAACAGTGACAGAACCAGCATTTCTGTTTTGGGGGGGAAATCAATTTGTTCGATTTTCTCTCTCACATTGAATTCACCTAATGAAACTGGTCGGAGCTGTCAGGCTTGAGTCTGCTATATAGCAACAGACACAAAAGACAAAAGCAACCCGGCAATACCAGTCACATGGGATAACCATTTTAAATATTGAATACCAGCAGTCAAATGATAATTAGAGGTCTAGTAATCTTACCGGCCCGAAGATCGAGAGAGAAGAAAGAAGGAGAAGAAGGAAAAGGAAGAAGAAGAGGCGGAGGCGAAACCCCGGCATCTTTCATGAGTCACCTTGTTTTCTGTGTCTGCGACCGAGTCCTTCTCCGCTTGGGCGACGACCCCTTCGACATCCTCTCCGACATCTCGGCCTTCACCTTCGCCTTCACCTTCGCCTTCATGAGCTTGCGCTTCTTGTCCAGCATCGGTGCGTCCTCATCAAAAGTAACTTCCTTCTTCACTATTGTCGTTTGTTCCTCCCCCACCTCCTTCTTCACCGTCCGCTCAGAAAACGTCTTCAAGTCCGCCGTGAACAGCACAGAGTGCGCCCAACCCGCATAATTACCCCATAGCTCCCTGAAGTGGTCACCAACGGCATCGTACATAATCTTGTTGAAAGTTTTGGTCTTGCTCTTGCCAAACTTGTAGTCCCGTTGGGCAATCTGCCAGACGTGTGTGTCCACCGGCACGGCTTCGCCCCAGCCCAAACCCATCAAGCAAACACAGTCGGCTACCTTGGGCCCAACGCCGGCCAACTGGAGGAGCTGCTCGTGCGCCTCTTTATATGTGCACTGGGGTAACTCAGAGCCTCCTTGGAGTCTTCTATAGCATGGGTTCTCCGGGTTTGTAAGGCTCTCAAACCAACCCTTTGGCCGGTCCTTCACGATGATCGACGCCGTCTGCGCAATGTATTTCGCCCGGTAGCCGAAGCCGAGCTCTCTGAGATGCGCTTCTACTGAATTTCCCGTCAGAGCTTCTGGCGTCGGAAAGTCGTGGAACGGCTCATCTCCAATATGGCCAATGAGTGGTCCGTAGTGCGTGCAGAGTTTATGGACCTATCCCAGAGTAAGCATCCAAATACCTTGGCGTCCTGCTGCCAACATGTCGCTGGCTCACCATCTGTGATATCCTTGGAATGTTGTTATTGCTACTGCATATGAAGCATATCAGAGCTTCCCATGCATCTTGGCTCAGCATACGGACGCCTCCGAATTCAGGGGCCCTCTTGCGAAAGTTCGGATCTGCTTCTGACCATTGTTCGTACAAAGATTTGAGATCCAGCTTAAGACTCAAATAGTGCCGCAGCAAATCTTCGGTATCGTCGTCTTTGACTTCGCCATCGGCGACTGGTGGTGTAGGCGGGTAAGTCGGCTTTACAGGCCAAGTGACCTTGTAATGCAGGTGAGTTGGATCTTGCTTCAGCGCTACGATCCGACCGTATAATGTGCAGCACCTAAGCCCGCGTTTAGTACGGTATGTTTCATGCGTGGGTGAACACATTCGACTAACCATTCGTCATTAATTTTGCGCCATCGGAACGATTGACCGCATCGCAGGGTTGTGTCGATGCAAAGCTCGGCCAAACTGAGAGGCAGTTTGCGCCACTCGGTCACTCTGGCTATGGACATGCTCAAGGTACTGTGAAGTCTATCAAGCTCAGTTAGAAATCAAGCTAGAGGAGATCCCCAATCAATAACATCGGGAGACAACTTTGCAGATTGGTCGGTTGCCAATGGGGGTGAAGCCGCTGCTTTCATCAAGTAAGTTCTTCCCTTTTAACGAGCTGTCGACTCAGCGGCCAGTCGCCACCCACCTCCCAAATTGAAGTTCGGGACTAACCAGCCACATTTGTTCAGCCACATCACAGTCTGTCGGGATCAATGGGTGACCAGATAATATTGTTTACACTGTCTTTCTGCACTGTACATTGGGCTCCACACCTTTTCGCACTCAGCTCAAGAGCATCACGACGTTACTGAGCGGCTCATTACGACCAGCATCCACCCCAACTGCCCACCATGCTTTTCTTCAGGTACGTTTTGTAACTCATCTAGGCACGGCGAACTCTTCCTTCGGGTTTATGAGCCGCCATGGTCCTTATCAGGGCCTGCACAGACTAACGTGTCAACATCTCAACCCAGTTTCTTCAAGACGCTCATAGACCACGAGGTCACCGTCGAGCTCAAGAACGACATCCAAATCCGCGGCATCCTCAAGAGCGTCGACCAGTACCTCAATATCAAGCTGGAAGAGATCTCAGTTGTCGAGGAGCTCAAGTACCCGCACTTGGTCAGTCACCTAGCCACCCTTCTTCTTCCTGAAGCGCTCGCCCCTCCACCGCCGGTGTCTCCCTTCCATCATCTCGGCTAGAGGCCCCACGAACTTTTCAACTAACGAAAACATGTCGACAGAGTTCTGTTAAGAATGTCTTCATTCGTGGCTCTGTCGTACGATACGTCCACCTTCCCGCCGGTTCTGTAGACGTGCCCCTCTTGGAGGACGCGACGCGGAGAGGTAAGTCCCCAAGGTCTTTCTCGTGTGTGCAAGCGTGACGCTGAAAAATCCCGCAGAGGCTGCTGCCCAGGCCGCAAAGGCGAAATAGGCCACTGGCTCTTAGGAATGATGTGCTGTTGGCGGGGGACATAAAATCATGACATGACCGGGGCACTACAAAAGCCGGTCAACGAAAGTCGGGAAAGGAAGGCCAGTGCCTAGCTACTAGATGTGCTAGCTCAACAGGGTTCGTGGGCGTTTTTGTCACTTTGACTAGACGATGATGCGAAAAAGGCGGGAGAATCCGATATCCAGCCAGAAATCTATGAAACCCACTGTTCAAAGGATTTGTACGCCCTACCGAGGGTTGCTCATTGTTCATTACTCATTACGTTTCCCACCATGTGATAAGAAATCACCACCAAACGCCCCCTCCGCGGCCGTCTTTGCCATCCCAAAGCGTGACCCCCGTGCCTTCACTCTCTTCGCCCTCGAGGGGACGAAGGAGGCCGCCCTTCCTCCTCTCAGCTAGCCACTTATCGATCCAGCCCTTCATCCTCTTCCTTGACACCTCGCTGCCAACATTGACTGTGGGAACGACCCTCTCGATGCGCAATGACATTAGAAACATCGCCAGCTCCCGAAAGCTGCTATGCTCACTGTAGGGCACTCCAAAGCACATGGCCTCCTTAGTGCTGCCACGTTGTGCCACAAAGTCCTTTGCTCCGAACCGTGACCGCCACGCCTTTCCCTGGAAGATCTGTGTTGTTGGAATAGTCCCGGGTTGTGTACTAGCCGTGACCGCTTTGCTGGCCCCTTGTGGTCGGTAGTTCCAGCCAGAGGGGCGGAAACCGACAATGCGGCTGAAGTGCGGTTTGTACGAGTTGAGATACTCCTGCAGAGTTTCCGCTCGGATTTCCATTAGCATTTGCATGTGAACTTGAGCTTCGTACGGATTGTCTGTCATGAGCGATGTCAACTCTGGATCTCCAAGTTTCGAGCAGATCCGAATCTTCGACTTGGAAGCAAAAATTTTGCTGCCCAAAGCCTGCGCGATGGCCTTGCAAATACGCTCTTTGCCGATCGAGTAGGTGCCGCAGATGACAAGAAGGCGCTCTCTGGGGGCATTCTTAGGCTTGGGGTTTGAAGCCTCCCCTTCTACATTCGTCTTGGTGAAGAACTTGCTGACGGTTTCCGTACCGGCCTCTCTGTTTATTCTGTCCCAGGTGTTGTCCTCCGATGATTGATCTGGAGCCAATGATTTGCACATATCCGCGCAAGCCTTGATGACATCGTTCTGGGGGGGGAATGAGTAGCGAGGGTTGAGGTAAGTCGTATCCAGATAGCAAACATCAATCTTTTGCTCCCGAATCTTACCAGAAATGGAGTCTTGCACTTCGGGCTTCAGAAGAGGATGCGCAACTTGTGCTGGACAGGCCCTGAAGTCGCCACAGTGCAGTACCCTTTGTTTCTTTGCACTCGGCCCCTTTCCCATGGTCTTCTCAAATAAGAATAGGGAGCTCCCGGGGCAGTGATTTGCGGGTATCATAGTTACAGTCACACCATCGGTGCCCGGTACGTCAACTGTCTCATCGAACTCGAGAGGCCGGACCCAGTGGGCAGCAACGCGCAGCTGCATCTTGACAAGGTCACCTGTAACCTTGCTGCAGTATATAGGGCCATGCGTCCAGTTCGCAGTGAGACCAATGTAATGGTCACTGTGAAAGTGGCTCAAGAAGTATGCATTGCATCCCTTGACCGCACCATACCTAAAGGCATCCACACAGATGTAGAACCCAGGCATGATCTTGTAGAACGGACAGGTTCGCTGATACGCAGGCTTTCCGCGTGCCGAATGTTCTGCGGCGGCAGCACCGGACCATGCCGCGTCTTCAGCATGGCTTGACATCAACTTGCTGAAAGCCGAGGTTGGCTTATTTTCAACCTCGCTCAGGTTGAAGGGGCTGGCCTGGCCTTCTCGAGGAATAGCTGCGCGCGCGAATCGTTTGCTAACTTCGGGAGAGTCAAGGATTGGTGGTCTAGCAATAACTTGTTTTTTAATCTTTTTGTTTTCTTTGGGCCGGGGAAGCGGGATTGGGCTGCCATCGAGGCAGGCATTGACATGTCGTGTTGCCTCGTCGGATGTAATGCCAGCAAGGCTGCCGTCGCATATTGGACAATTGGCCACCATGGCGTCACTATGTCGCGCAGGAGCGGCGAGGTCGTCGTAAGTGCTATCTCCGGTGTCGCCATTCTCAGCCTCAGCCTCCAAACGAGCCTGCTCCTCCATATACTGCATCATGCGGTACTCTTCGCCACCAAAGTCGTCGTCATCGGGAAATTCGTCTGGGTCACCAAACTCGTCAATATTTGCAAACTCGGCATCGATTGAGTTCTCAACCTTTAGTGGCGGTGGCGCGCAGCTGGTCTCTTTAGTAAGGGGTATTGCCTCCTCGTTCTCCGTTAGAACCGGCAGCATTGAGCCTTCATCTTCTGACTTAATGGGAGGTATTATGTTTACCTCCGACTGGACGGGCGGTATGATGGGCGGTCGATTACGCATATTGCCTAGAAATGGCGTCTTATGTGCCGGAACTACATCCTCCTCGCTGTCGGAATCGTCGAGAAAGGGACCCTTGCGCTTGGTCGATTGTTTCTTTGCGGGCTTCGCCTCTGAGGCTGACGATGATGGAAATGGGTCGGATTGTATAGGTCTTTCAGACTTCTTCTCCACAAGATATTCTCTTTCCATTTCCTCTTCATCTTGACTTAGCCTTCTCTTCTTGAGTGGGGCCTCGACCTCGTTGAACCTCTCCTCCTCCCACGATTCAGTATCGTAGATCTCCGGTTCATCGGTTTCTCCGTTTTGGCAGATCGCGAGCTTGTCGTGACCATCCAAGAAGAGAGTAGGTTCAGGCTTCTCGGCCTTTTGGAAAAAATTCAAAATGCTAGCATTCGGTCTGGCGGGTTTCTTCGAAGGTGGAGGCTTAGTCAAGGGTTTCTTTGGAGTATTGGTTCGCTTCCGTGCTGCCGACGACGACGATGATGGCCCCATCCTTGAGATGTGCAGTTGCGATGACAAGCATATAAAAGTAGAGGAACAAAATAAGAAATGAAAGGAGGCAAAGATGGTTTGGATTGCATTTGATCGGTAGCTACACCCGCATCGCGCTTTTCAAGTTGGGGGCGAAAGTGGGCAAGGGGGGTTCGGAAATCAGAAAGTAGTAGGTAATGACGTTCAGATCTGGACCCTTTTACCCTTCAGAAACACGAAAAGCGCGGGGACCCTGGCAAGTCCGATCAAACTTCGTCGCGAGGTCGCGTGTTCGAGCACGTGACCGTCACGCTTAATTGCCTACGCGCTATGGCTGCTTGGCAGGAGATTGAAGAACTGAAAGGCAGGTGTTCGTAATACAACTCTCGACAACCATTCCCTGTTCAACGGGCTCAATCTGTACTGTTTCCGGCTAATCCTTCTTGCCCTTTTTTTTTTTTCTTTTTTAAAAAAAAAACCTTACGGCCTGCCAGGTTTATTAGCCTTTCTGTCCATATGTTGCCAGGGTGTTTGTGTGGTTCAGACCTCTCAGTAATCAACAAAACCTCCATACAGAGCATGCTCATATTGAGACAGCTGGGCTAGGAGATCCAGTCTTTTTTTCGCAACGCGCGAGCTCACAGGACTCGAGCCAAATAAAGTTTGGAGTATCGTGCCAGATGAAATACCCAAACCTGTGGTCGATGGTGTGACGCCTTAGCTTTTCGAGGTAGGTATGACGGCGGCATCGGCTTCATTATAGGCCTGAATGAACCCTCCTTCTCGAATTAACTTGCGGGAATTGCCTCAATGATTTGGCCCATTCTCTGTCTCGTCACGGGCTATCTGTCTCCCTGCTTTCTCTATGACTGGGTATTTCTGTCTTGGTCGTGCCATAATGGCGTGTCTCTTTGGTTGTCCTGCGTTCATTCTTGCTGTTTCCACTTGAGGTAAACGGCAAGATCGATGAGAAAGACGAAGCGTACAACCATTTTCCGCACCGCAAAAATTGCTGTGACGACGACAAACGCTGTCAGCAAGATCCCCGTACTCTGTCCAAGCAGGGGCTCCTCTAGTTGATGAGCGTGCCACAGCTGAATCATCTGTGGCTCGATGATTCCGATGAGGATAAGCTGTTGAACCAAGCTCATTATTGATCCGAATTCGGTCGTATTGCTTGGAAGACGGTGTCGGCGACAAATGGAAATCCACTGAGTCTTTCGAAATATGAAAGGTAGTTCGTAGAATAAGATAGCCGTGGTGCGCAATCCGCGAATGAGACTGAGCCAATCCTCGAGGGCATGGCCTTCTGGTGGTGGCATGAGCGCGAAGGCGACGAAGAAAGCGATCTGAAGAATAATGAATATGAGAGCGAGGTCCAACCAACAGCACACATCTAGCATGAATCTGAAATCTCGGGCCTTCTTTTGGTCAATCCAACGAGCGCGTCCTGCCGGAACATGACTGCCAACGATATGATTCTCATCAGTCATCTTCATTGTGTTTTTCGAATAATCGCAGACGTCGGGGGTTTTTTTTTTTTTTTTGCACTCAACGCAGGTTGATAAAATGAAATTTGATGTTTTCACCTCAGAAAAAAAAAACCGAAACTTGTCAGACGGTTTTTATTTGAGTACTCCTGGGGACGGTAATGATAAGGGGTATGCGGTAGAAGGTGGAAAGATGGGGTATAGAGACGGTTCTGTGTGAGCACCTTGAGTATGTCCCAGAGGCGTGAGTGATGAAAGACGAGGGAGGCAAGCTAGAACAGGCAGGAAGATGAAAGTAACACATGGTTGTCGACGTTGCGTATGTCAAAACCACCTTGTCGTGCTCGTCCCTGCCTTGATGCTTTGGGTTTCAACTCGATGCAAGTGCTGTTGAATTCTAAAGAAAGCGCCAGCAGCTTGCAATTCATACGAAGAGCCCGCAGGACAATGCGTCTGTTATCTTCTCTGCTAAGAGCCTTGAAATGCGACGAAGTAAGTCAAACTCTTTGGCCTATATTCTGTTGTGATGCTCCTTTCAGGTCGACGGTACTGTAAGAACGTGGGGTTATCGTCACCACTGGAAGAAGGCCATCATCCATAGGACTGGGGTTCCATCTGTATTGTAGCGCGTTTCCACCAGTATGTGTCAAGATCTTATTTTGGGGATGTTTCTGGCCTTCAGATAGTTATTCTTGCACCAGTAACAGGATTCGTGCACACCAGTAAACGACTACCGAAAATTTAAATCAAGTCTGAGCTGGTACAATAAGAGCTTCTTGCCCGCAGTTGATGTTTTAAAGGCCCCAAGAGAGGAAAAGACTCGTGTACTTAGTCAGAGATATTAAGAAGGGTTCACCATCATCCGCATAGCAGCTACCCTAAATGAACAGGAATATTCATGCAATTATGGTTGGAAACGGCTTGCGCTTGATCATACCCATAGAGTGCAACTAAACCGAGCCCTCCAGCCAGGATCTGGCAACCATGGCAATGACGGCCAAGACCAGATAGACCAGGCCGCCAGCCCATCGTCAACTAGGGCCGGCAACAACTTCATCCATCACCTCTCTCTCGCTTCCATTTGTACTGAAGCTATCGATTCCATCCTCTATCTCCACAGTCTCCATCTGGGCCAACAGCCTCGACCTCTCCGCAACAACAAGCGTGAACCACCGCAACTCAGCCACCTGTCTCTTCTCAAGCTCCCTCCGCTCGCTCTCTACGCGTTCTCCATGTCGAATCTTCACGCTGTACATGACCTCCTCGCGAATGGCCCGCTCCTCGTCTACCTTCATCTTATATCGTGCAGTCTCGTCGGTCTTCCACCTTCCCCACGCCCGCCACCCCTTATCCATCTTCTTAAGGAAATTCTGCATGAGCTCCTCGACACGTGCTTCGCTCTTCGGCTTGTTGGCAAAGAAGTCTTCTAAGAGCTCCAGGTAGGCGTCTTCTGTCCTCTTCTCCTCTAATACGCGGAGGCTGTACTCGGTTGCGAGGGCCTTTTCCTTGGCGGCCAGTTTCCGCGAGGCCGTTTCGGCGAGCTCAAGATGCTCTGCTTGTTGCCTTGCCTCGAGTTCGGCTGTAGAAGTAAACGCTTCTTGAGACGCAATCTCCTTTTCTTTGTCGTGTTGGTATCGTACAAGGACTTCTTGCAGGTCATGAATCTGATCGAGCATTGCCCGAAGGTCCTGGTACTTGACCTCGATTCCGTGACGTCGGAGGCTTTCAAAGCGGACACGCTCTTCTATCTCGCGCTGCCGGCGCTCCTCTTCCTGTCTCTCCGTCTCCTGCCTCAACAGCTCAGCCTTTAGCGCTTCTTCACGCTCAAATTCCTCAATCTGCCGTAAAGCGTCTCGAAGCTCGGACTCGGCCTCTTCTTTCCTTCGAAGTCTCTCCTCCCGCCTCGTTGCAGCCCCAGCCTTGACAGCATTCAGCTGGTCCATCGTGCAGGTGCATGTTCTCCATCTCTGGTTGCAGACGTAGCAGAATTGATATCCGCACCGACAAGTCATGTGCTGACACGCCTCCAGGTGTTCGACCAGTGCCTGGCACTTTAAGCAGTGCTGCCAGCCCTCGTCCTCGGCAAGGGCATTGGTCAGTGCCAAATCGCGGTCTTGAGGGCAATCGGAGTTATCATGCTGCGGGCCGCGGCAGATGGTACAAGTCCAGTGTGCGTTCGCGCAGCGCCCTATGCTGAGGCCCTGGTTCACGTGGTCAGGTCTGATCCAGAGACTGCAGTCTGGCTGGTTGCAGTAGATACGCTCGCTGACGGGGAGCTTCCACTCGGCGGCACGATCTTTGTAGGTCTTACCCAGGTCCTTGGTGACGTAACGCAGAATAGTACGGAAAGGGATCTGGTTGAGACAGCACTTGGGGGGCCACTGCTGCTCATTCTGGACCGCTGTCGCAATGAGTCTCTCGAAACAGTCGCGGCAGTAACTGTGACAGGTGACTTTGACCATATCCTTCTTATCAAAGTCGTCGAGGCAGGATACGCACTCGCTAGAGCTTCCTGTTAGTATTAGGAAACTACTAAGCACGAACGACTTACACAGTTGCTGTCTTCCTAGAGGTGGTGCTCGTGGAGTTGGTATCTGACGGCCCTTCTATGCTCGTCTTATTCCGATTGGAACCGAATCTGAACGATCTCCTTTTCCCCTCCTTTTCGCTGATCTTTTGTAGGACTCGGGTCAAGGCAAACCGGCCTTTCTTCTTTGGTTGGAATGGAAAGACAATAAACCCATTGACCGGTGAGCTGCCGCGATTACCTACGAGTTCCGGAAATAGTTGAATTTTCCCCTGATTCTCGTTTGATTGAATATCTGAAGATCCATCATCTTCGGTTGTGATGATGATAGGAAGATACGGTTCGGCTCCCTTGCTGCTGGCCCCTGAAGCTATGCTTGCTTCTTCTTCCAGCTGCCGTGCTTGCTCTTCTTTTACGGCTTTTGCTTGTATGTTATCGATAGAGGTCTGCAAGACTTTAAGGAGCACAGCGTCCTTGATATCGGGAGTCGTTTTGAGAGCGACTGGCGGGCTATACCTTGACCAGTCAAGATCACCCCCCGCCTCGGCCGTCGCCATTTCAGGCTTGCGTTCGTCAGTGGGAGATTTCCCTTTGTGTTCCTTATTGACCTCTAAGAGTTTGGTCTCGTTCTCAAAGCCATAAGGAATCACAAAGGGGTCGCCGTAGAACCCTACGTAATCTTCCAGGCGGGAGGGCACAGACGATGCAGCTTCCATTCCGGCGACAGTTGTAGTAGTGCTAGACCTGTGAAAGAGAAAGAGAGAGAGGAGGGGGGGAGAAAGGATGATGCGCGTCGTACCAGAGGGTGAAGTAATATTAGCCACCAGCCGCGACGACCTTATGAAGATGAGGCCATCTACCCTGACGCCCTACAGCAAGCCGGGGAGAGCGAAATATAGACTTTCCACCAGCCAGGTACTCGAAACTTGTTGCATGGAACGAGCGGGTCGCCCAGGCCAAGGAGTCCGGAAAACTGGTGACTCTTCTCAGCCTCATGACATTTGACGAGGCAGTCTGACCTCCCCTCAGGACAGAGTCTGCCCTGGCTGGCCTATAGAGGTGCATTTCAACAGCAGCATTGGGAGATCCCGAAGAGGCATTAGCGCACGTTTGGTGCGTCGTACCAGCGAATCACTGGTTTGAATCGACATCCGAGGCAGACTGCACCACGCACGAGACACCAGCTAGCCAGGTCTTGGTTGGTGGTGCGGGTATGTCTTGCTATAAGTTGGAAGTAGCAGTGGTCTTCGGGGCGGTTTCGGCATTAGCGCGCGGGCAGTGCAGGCTTACCAACTTCTGCAGTTGCCCACCGAAGGAACTGGTGGGTCACATTTAGCCACAGCTGGGCGTTCCAAAAGAGCACCGTTGGGTTTGTTCACTGACGGCTCTTTGATGCGAAGGTTGTACAGCCTTTGCCGTGCCGTACAATTGCTAGTTTAATACATGACTAACGTTTGCAACCAACTAAATGGGAGCGTAGACGTCGGGACACCGCCGACAACCCCATTAAGAAAACATTGTCTTCATGTCTTTTTTTTAATTATGACTTTCCACGTCGCCGCGTTGCCAGATCGATTCGACTCCTTTGGGCTGGAGAGACACGATTTTACCCCACCGGACTGCAGCCAAAGTGCGCTGTTTTCGTGTCCCTGCTAAACGATTCTACATATATGTTCAAGTCTCGACCAATAGTAACACACGCCATAAAGATACGCAATCATAGTGTAGGGGTTATCATCCCAGCCTTCCATTTGATTAGAAAGCTGGGGACTCGGGTTCGAGTCCCGATGATTGCAATTTCCTTTTGCTCAGGAGCGACATACATAATATCTGACCTTTTTTTTCAGTTGGTTTCCTCCCTCACCAGTTAGGTCGAGGCTTGTTTGTTTCTGTTGGAATAAAATGGAACAAAAACTCGGTTTCCGGCGAACCCCACTTCTTACTGGATGTTTCCGTTGGTTAAAATCGCGACCAGACCACCAATGCCTACCCTCATGGAACGATATATGCCTGAAGCAGTTCAGGAGAGCCCAAGTCGATTTCTTTGTGCGATATGCGAGAATGCCTTGCTGGATGTGCGGCCGGTTTGCCCAAGACTCATCGGACCCAATAATCAGTCAGTCCACTGGCAACATTTCGGCATATGCTCGACGAACAAGCGAACCAATGACTTGAGATTAGATAGATGGAGAGAAATCGTGATTCAAATGCAGTGTGAATTTGCGGCGTTCCTGAATCCTTAGCATCCACCTGTCTGCCGTTGGCTATGGAGAAGAATAACAATTATGGCGTGTCAAATGAGCAACGCTGACCACGATATGGTGGCCCGTCAGATTTTTGACTTCAGCTTGCTGAACTCCACCTTGTTGATGCAAGAGCCTACATTCTCAAGACCTACTTCGACAACGTCTCCATCCCTCAGCCACAGTTGAGGTGTACGGCCCATGCCTACACCCTCAGGGCTGTGCCTCCTGTCAGCAAATGACATCAAACGGTAGTTTCTACTGTTACACTTACGTTCCCGTAAAGATGACGTCCCCAGGCAGCAGGGTAGTACCCTGGCTCAGAAAAGAGATCATCTTCTTGATGCCGAATATCATATCTTTGGTGTTGTTGTTCTACCAGCCGTCAATGATCCTCTCCTAATCCGTACCTGCGGCGCATCGCTCACCTGAACGGTCTCCCCGTTGACCTTGGTAAAGATCTTTAGATTTTGCGGGTCTCTAACGACCTTGCTGGTCACGATGCCGGGGCCGAACGGTGCCCAGCCGTCGAATCCCTTCCCGAGCGACCATTGACCCCCGCCACGCTGGAGCTGCCACTCGCGGTGCGACACGTCGTTACCAACGGCGTAGCCGAGGACGTAGTCGAGGGCCTGATCCTCGGACACGTTGGCGGCGGTCTTGCCGATGACGACGACCAGCTCGCACTCGTAGTCCAAGGTGCTGCCGGTCTGTGCGACCGGATGCACGGGAATGGGGTCACTTGGTCCGGCGAGGGAGGTTGCCGGTTTGTACTGGCTACATCAGTCTGCCGGAGCGCGCCACACGGGACGATAAGGACCTACGAAGAGAACGGGAAACTTGGGAATGGCCATATTCGACTGCAAGCGGTTAGCAATCAACCTGAAGATATGAATTTCTATAAGGCGCGAGCTAACCTCCTTTGCGTGGTTCGCATAGTTGAGACCCAGACATCGCACAGTCTTGACATGTTCGGGAGCCAAGGGGGACAGTAACAGCCGAATGTCGGCGACGTTTTCTGTGACATCGTGTCTCCCAAAGATGTCACCCGTCACAATACGAGCTTGTCTCGCCTTTGATATATCAGTGACGCCGCTGGGGAGGATAGCATCGCCATAGTATGTCTTGCCGTCTCGGGCGAGGAAGCGGACGAGTCTCTAGCAATGGCGTCAGTAGGGGGGGCAACTAGAAACATGGCCAACCCACCGAGAATGAAGCCATCTCCACGGTTAGAGGTACCACAACTCAATTTTGAGTTAAAAAAAATGCAGGCAATACAAGAAGCACAATCAATGTTCTACAGTCGATGGGAGATTGTTGTGATGGAATGAGGTGAATATCAGGAAGCACGCGGCAGACGCTGTTGAAACCCCACATCTTCCTACCTACCTAGGTATGGATACCTAGGGGCCCGCGGCCTATTAGGTGCTAAACCCGGACCGCATGAGAGCATGGCGCATCACTAAAACTATCGGCAGCAGTTCACGGCTAATGTATCCGCAACATGGCACCCTGATCGCTGAGTCATCTGATTAACCAATGAATAATATGACCCACTTTTCCACGGCCTGAGAAACGGAGCTCTTTCCCGAGACTGACATCAACGACCCGAGCTTTCTCAGATACGATTTCTTTGATGAACTATCAAAAGACCCCCCCACCTTCCGCTGCATCCCTGCCGAGTTGACGCTGAAAATGGCTGTAGCAAGACGCGGACTTTCTGGCCTCCAACGGGAGGTTTTGTCTTTATACAGACAATGCCTTCGGGAAATCCGCAAGAAGCCAGAGGTGAGAGAGATGTCTCAATTTGGTAGCAACCCGCACGTGAGAGCTAACAGTAGTGTAGAATGCGCAACCTCACTTTCAAACCTTTGCCAGGCAAGCTTGTGCATGACTTGGATTTATATACAGAAAGGCATACTGACCCATGATCAGGACCGAGTTTGACAGGTACATCACCGTCGACAAGCGCGACTTTTCTGTCGTAGAGCACTTGCTCCGGAAGGGTCGTCGTCAGCTCGAGACGTACTCTTCGCCCAGCATCAAGGATGTTAGTCGATGAGGAAACCGCAACTTGATTGCTCTGACGTTGGTTCCATCCTCACGCACTTCTGGGAAACCGCGTCTTCGGATAGGAAACCGAGCCGGCCATACAACCCAGGCGCAGGCGATAGCAGTCGACACTTCCCCTCTGTATCACCACATGTCTCTCCTATGCTACGTTTTGTTACCTACCTAACTAGACCACATGATACCATCACAAATTCTTCTTTGGATCCAGCTTTGATATTTCCCAGCCTATCGAGCATGGACAATGCTTGATTGCGACAGAGTCTTCCGAGACTGTAATTGTATTTCGTCTTGTTCACCACCCATTCCTGATCCCGCACCGCACCTGGCCCACAAAGCAGCCGAGGACGTCTTCCGCAACCCAATAAGTCCGTCTGTGGAGAGTCTCCGTCGTCAGCAAAGCAAGGCTGTCTACGCGAAGCAAGTTAGTAAAGCAAGGCTTCCTTCGGGCAAGATTTCCCGTTCTCAGACAACAGCTGTCTCTGCCAGGAGGGCGAACGCACCCTTTCCAATCTCTCTTACGACTTCCATAGCCCAAGAACGGGAGGTGGAAAGGCTTCGCAAGCTGGTGGCATCGGATGCTCTTCAGCCCCTAATACCGAATTCTCGACAGCCAAACAGACAATCAATCCAAAGAACACCCCCTGTGTGGTACGTTGCAATGAAAGACTCCGGAGAGGCCAATTCCGGTTCGCCCAATCCACAGGGCACCTTGGCCCATCGGCAGCCCGACTTTGCTGAACCCAGTCGATTGACAGGGTCTCGGAATGTTTACACCAGGCCCGTTGTCGGGTTTTCAGGGTCCCCGGTCCGATCCAAGCCCATTCATCCTCAGGGCCGCCGCCAGACGCCGCCTACTTCTAGTCCATTCAAACATCGGGAATTCCCTGTCATTGCCATACCGGAGCCTTCCCACTCTTTCCACCGCCGCGAATTGGTATCTTCCCACGAGAGAAGATTCGGCGTCGCTGACCCGCAGCTGTAGGAGGCTGTTCGCCGAAGTCTTTCACAGCAGAGTCAGGTGTCTCTTCTTGCATCGCCATCCAAAAGGATATCAAACCGATCTTTGGAAGCACCTCAGCCGCCTTCTCGGACTTCAAGTCGCCGGCGAGAGGTGGATCGTTTCGCCCGACAACTTGAACTTTATGTCGAGCGCAGAGAGGCTGCCGGAAACCTTCCTGTCTCTACCCCGACGCCAGACTCTGTGGTGTCGCTTCACACAGTGACGGCACTTCTTCCATATGAGGACCAGTTCCAGGCCGCCGGTCTGGCAGTAACATCTGCACAGCAGCGGCAACGATCGCCGCCAAAGATGCTTCCGGTAAAGGAACGACACTTGGTCGCCGTATCAGATGATAAGCTCGCAACGCTGACAAAAAGTTACACTAAGCAACCTCGACGCGAAGGTGAACCAGGCCATCTTCAGCTTAATGGCTTAAGGAGCCCTTCGGATGGCTTCACCACTTCCTCGAGTTCTGGGACACAAGCTGCTTTCACTCAACCGGAAGCCTGGGAGCTTGCCTTTATCGATGAAGTGCCGGCAAAAAAGGACAGATCCAATTGCTGCAACCTCCCTTGCTTTCCGAATACAAGGGACCAATCAGTAGACATGCCTGCGAGTCGAGCGCCTCCTTTTCCAACGCCCGCAACTATCGACACTCCAAACAAGATATTGGCAAAATGGCAGCCAGTATATCCACAGAGGACGGAAGGCCTAAAAGGATGGTGTAAGTTTGATCCACTGTTGGCGTGTCTTCTTGCTAACTATCGCGAAGATGAACAAGATGCTCGAGATGCTCGAGCCAAAACATGGCATGGCGACACTGCGCAGCGTCCGTCAACTTATCGGAAACCGCGTGAGACTCTCCCACCCGTTGACGAGGTAGAGCCTCCGAGTCCAGGAAGTAAGGTACCCAAGAAACCAAGTCGCAGCCCAGAACAGAAAAAACCGCCGATACCACCCAGGGCGGAAGCCCGTCCTAAAACATCGAGACAACAACTCGAGCCGCCGACCGAATCTTCAGGTCTCAGAGGCCTTCGAAAACAGTCGCAACTAGATGTATTCACAGGCCAAGAGAACGTCGCGCCGGACGGTAAGCTCTTAGATACCGTGGCCAAAAAGCCGACTACAGCAGTTGCTACACTTGTTCCATACGATGACTCGGCTCCGACACAGCCGATCGCCCATCGGCCCTCTCCAGAGCCAAAGGAGCCTCAGGGAACTGTGAAGAAACCCCTTAGGGTATCCATCAATCAGCCCGAACGAAAGGCCAGGGAAAAGGCTCTTCTTCAACGAGGCACGAAAACTGGGCTCGAACACCCGCCTACCTCTCAACCTAGAAGAATCATTCGAAGCCTACAAGGGCCTCCCAAAATCCCCGAGGCAGATTATGAAAAACAATCCGCGGTGGCGAGCCAGGGGACGGTCTCATCAAACGCAGATCTCCCGTCTACGTGGAAACTGACCTTGAGTACCTCTTCATCTCTTGAGCTTGCGATGGATGCTGCCTCTCAAGAGACGAAAAGAAGAGAATCCAAGCTGCCTGAGAGCGAAACAATCCTGAAGCAGATTTTGACAGAACAGCCTCAGACTACTGCTGCTCGAGAGGAAAAGAATAACGATCGAATTCCACTTCCTAGTAGCAAAGAATCCATTCCGCCGCCCAAGGTACAACCGACCTGCAAGACGTTCAGAGATGGTAATGGGCCTGTTTCCAAAGAGCAAGATGATTGTGGCATTGACGACAGGGATGTATTGCGAGGTCTCAACATTGCAATATCCGCTGCTTGTGATGAGGAGGTAGACGCTTGGATCCGACTGAAAACGGGTGTCCGCATTCGTCGATTCTTGGCGGACCTGAAGGCATTCGAGACTCTTGGTGACGAGCATGAGCCAGATCCGGTCAGAGAACGTGCAAGGAAAAGACGAGCTGACTCGAGGAAACTTAAGGCGCAGATTCAGCAGTCCAAAGCTGCCAGAGAGTCGAGAGCGCAGTGACTATGGTCCGGCGGAAAAGAAGGGTTAATGGATTAAGAAAACAGAAATGGCTTTGTTCAATAGTAATAGATGCGGCGTCGTTGGCATGGGGTAGAGGAACCCTACAACATTCATACCCCCAATAGCGCTAAAGTTAGCCAGTTATTTGATTGATTTGAGGCTTTTAATGACTTTTATTCGCTATATTTGACCTCCAACCGGTATCTGCCAGCCTGCTAGCCCTCCTCATACTCGTTGCTGTTGTCAAGATACGGTAGACTGTTGAGGCTGAGATATCTATATTAAGCTCCCTTTGCAGCTTGCTAGTAATGTCAGCACACGTCTTTTCCCTGCTGTAATAATCGCAGCAAAACTTTTAGACAACAAGGTCTGCTACAGACTGTGTAGCCTTCTTGGGTCAGCCGGTCCGAGGGGCATCGTTGATATACTCAGGGAGTAAAGTAAACGTAGGCGCAGTTGGGTCAAAGCCATGCTTTTTCGCGCGGGCGAGAATATTACCAACCGTACGCTTAGGTAGCCCAACCATCTCTGCAGTCTCGTTAGCTTATTTGCCTACGGCACGGCTGCGAAGGGCAAGAATAACTGCCCGTAAAGAAGGGTCAACGTGAGGAGGCATAATAGTGATAGTTGCAAGGTGAAAAAAGTGGTGTTGTTGTTATTGTTATTGTTGTTAAAATGAGAATATTACTCTTGCCAGGGCCCTAGACTGAGAAAGGAAGGGGATGAATCTAGTTTCTCTACTTGGCTGGATTTGGGTTCAAGTGTGTCCATATTCATGGGATGGTCTTGGCATTCTGGGTCAATACTTTTGACAGGCTCCTCCGTACGACGGTTTGTTTTCTGTCCAACTCGGCTGAATATGACAACAAACAACAGGCATTTCCTTGCTATGGCATAACAAAGACCTTTGAACCTATTCGGGCCCTCAGATGCTTACAAACAAAGTTTTGTATGTTGTCACAGCAGATCACTCACCAGTGGGGTAAGATTGAGACGTTTCAGGTCTATAATGTAGATCATATTCATTAAAAGGTGTATATCGCATGACTCTCTGTGCATCAAAACCGGATGGTGGGATATCTCGATGTTCGTCTGTGCTCGTTTATCAAGCTCTATGCGCGATTTCATTTGCGCTGAAGCACTATTTATGTATGCTTCAGCCGCGTTTGTGCTCCAACTCCTCGGCCTCGTGGCCAATTTTGACCTCCTGCTCGATCTGGGCAAGATCGAGGTCGGCGACCTCGGCGTCGGGGCCGTCGATGACCTTGACGAGCTCCTCGAGGGTGGGGCCCTTTGTCTCGATGTAGAGGAAGTAGACGAAAGTAAGCTCGAGGAAGATCCAGCACTGTGGTCGGCGTCAGTCGGCCTTTCGCCGGGGAGGGCGATGTCCTGGGAGACTGAAAATGGGTTGGGCAACTTACAGTGTAAATGAGGTAGAGTTTCCAGGTGTGGCCCTTGAAATATTCGAACGCGTAGGGGTTGGCGTAGTTGTTGAGGGTCAGGGCGGCCTGGACGGTCAGGTTGACGATCATGAGACCCTTAGCACGCAGCTTGTAGGGCAGGATCTCAATGGAGTAACTGATGAGCAGGCCTGACCAGGCGAAGGAGTAGAAGAAGCCGAACAGCCAGATAAAAAAGATCATGGCGTAGTTAGAGCCGGGGGAGCCGTACTCTTCGAAAAGACCGTCGGAGAGTGTCCAGAAGACGAAGGTCATAAGCATACCGGCCGTGGAGGCGAGGAAGATGGGGCGGCGGCCGAAGCGGTCGACTTGCATAGCCAATGTCACGGAGACGATCAGTGAAAGTCCGGTCCCACCGGCGGAGAGCTGCGAGATGAGTTAGCAATGCCATTTTCGGTACGGACTGTGGAAGGGGAAACCCACGCCAAGCCTAGAGGTGGAGCTCTCAATGCCGGCATTGGTGTACAAGATGTTGGTGTAGTTGGAGATAATGGCGTTGCCGGACCACTGGGAGAAGAGACCGAGCGAGATGAGTATCATGAAGCGGTACTTGTTGCCAGGGGTGCGGAAGAAGTCGAGGTAGCTGGTGCTGTTCTTGGCGGCGATCTCACGCTTGATGGTCTCGCGAATCTCGCGGAACTCGAACTGAACTGTGGGGTGGTCGGTGTTGCCGTTGGCGTGGTACTTTCCCAGAATCTGGAGGGCCTCATCGTGACGGTCCTTGGCGATGAGGAAACGAGGGGACTCGGGTACCCCTGAGACACAGTCAGTAACTGAACAGATTGACCCACTGCGGACGCGAAAAGGCCGAACAACTCACAGAAAATGAAAAGGAGCTGGATGACGGAGGGCACAGCCTGACCAATGGCGGGGATACGCCACGACCACTCGTTGCCCAGGAAGTCGGTTCCGAAAGAGAGCCAAGCGACGATAAGTGCACCGACATTATATAGACAGTTGTAGACCTATTGCACCCAAGAATGTCAGCATATCTATCCATCCCATCAGAGCTTACAAAATCTCGAATAGCTTCATCCGAGGTTATAGAGTCGTGGAACGAGGTCGCGTGAGGTACGTACCGTCGTCAGGCGAGCACGATGCTGCGGATGGCACAGTTCGGCGAGCAACATCGGGGAGGCGATTTGGGCAAAAGAGTTGCCGAAACCGAGGAGGAGGCGGCCACCCATGAACACTGCATGATGTCAGCCTCGGAACAAGGCAACCGTAAATCAGAGAAACATACTACCCAAGTTCTGGCAGGCGCCCTGCAGGATGGCGCCAGCGACCATGATTACGCAGCCAATGATAATAGGAATCCTTCTGCCAAAGCTGTCTGCCACCCAAGGACTACATGCACGGTCAGCATACAGGTCTACGCACTTGTTTTCTGTCAGGTATAACTCACACTATGGGAATAGAGATTAAACTGCCAATCTGGTAGAAGGCACCGAGGAGACCGAGCTGACCTCCCTTGGGATGGTCGAAGAATTCCTCCCACGAGTTGAAGTTCTGGACGGAGTTGAAGAACGAGCTGTTGACAAACGAGGTTAGCGAGCCATCGATTTCGCACCATTCATATCCGCGTCATACCCATCGTAACCGGTGGTTGCGGAGGCAATACAAAGAACGATTGCGTAAAAGTAGAGTTTTCGCAGACCGGGGTCCTTCATCCAGTCGACCTTCTCAAAGTCGGGAGCCTCTTCCTGAGCTTGGGTGACAGCCTCGCTCTTGGGCTTCTTCTGCGACAGGCCCTTCAAGAAACCCATATCGACAACGGCTCAACGACGTTAACGATCGTATGTGCGTGTATGCGGTGCGTGATGTTAGTGATTCGCTTCTGCTGGCGAGGGAAGCAGGAGCCAAGGCAGTTTCTGTATGTTGGATCGGAGAATGACTGGAGAAAGACGGGACAAGGAGGTGAGCTTATCCTACGACGCGGGTATCTAGGCCTAATATATGGAGCCATGGATCGTAAGAGGAGTACTCCAAGCGAAACAAGACTCTAGACAGTTACAGTGCGAGCTTTCGGACGAAGTGTCGAACCGGGAGGATACGGTACTCGAGATAGTCTCTCTCCCGGGTGCGGGGATATCAGGCGGGAACCACTTCGTTGGGATCCTTTGTACGAGGTCCTGGTCGGAGGCCAATTGGCCCCAGTCAACTGTCGTATCAAACAACAGTGAGGACATCGTCCAGCACAGGTAGACTGCAGCCTAGATACCATACCATGGGGCGTGTGACGTGCGTGGCAGGGGACTGCTACTTTCAACCGGCAAAAGTCGAATGAGTGCACGTTTCAAGGCAAAGCTTCATCGCCAACTGCTCTAACAAGCCTTACATAGTTGTCAACACCGAGCCTTTAGGTATTATGGTAGTGCTAATCTCTGCTGCAAGATATTTGGCACCGTCCGAACAGGTGAACGCGAGGCCACGTCCATTTCCCCAAACTTTGGAGATTGCATTTTGCCGGAAGCTTTGTGTGGACACTGGATTCCACTAATAGCAAGGACATGATTAGGTAGATGAGAGGAGATAATACTACTATGTGGTATTCCACTCGCTTGACGTCCGTTCCCCCCTGCCCCTGGGGCTCGTCCCGTGGAGATTGAACCAAGTGGGGGGGTTGACAGGGAAGTGTCTTTTCAGTGGAGACTGAGCTGGTCTAGCCCGTTAACCTTTTTGTTTTCCCCAAAGGCTGTCGAACTGACTGACAGCACTCAAGCCGGGCACACGACGGTTTTTGGACCGGGGAATCTTCATAGGAGAATGAACGCATACGAGCCTCTCGGCAACTCTGCCGTCAGCGTTAGCGGCCGAAGAAGCGGCCGAAAGGCTTTGCGGATAGCTTTTGCCGGCTTTTTACCCCAGAGATGCCCACCCTAGGATACCCCGGCAAACTGTGGACGGGTAGAACGAGAACCGTAAAAGTGGACGAGTTTGGGTTTGACTGGCTGAGCGGCTGCGGGTATGCGACTCGTCAACAATTAAACCGAATGATTGCAGTGCCTGAGACGAAAAGGGCGACTTCAAAACAGGGCCGGTATATCGCATCCGGGACTGGGCTCTTTTGCTTGGTATTCCTCTTTTCGTATCCCACGTATCCCACGCCTTCTGGACCAATACGATACGACGAACTACCAAGAAGTGACCAGCGGGAGAGTTAAACAATAAACACGCCCTGCATCTGCATTGGAATACCCATGCTCCATAACAACAGAAAGAGTCTTGCCGGCCGTGTAAGGAAAAAAAAAAAAAGAAAGAAAAAGAGAAAAGAAGCAACCAAACCTTGCTGGTGCGCGAAGAGCTAAAATCCTGCAATACTTCAGCACTCGTTTCCAGGCGCCAAATTTCTTAGCGTCAAGCTCTTGACAGGCGGCAGACCGGTCAGGCCGAAAGTGAAGATATCTCCGCCCCATTGATGCGACAGTGTAGGGAAAGCCCCTTGCTCGGAAGCTCCCTTGGTGTAGACTTCCCCCGTGACCCATACTTTCTGGGGCACGAGAAGAGGGCATGCCGTACTCAAGCTGAACAAGACTATGTATGCGTTGTCAGGCTCGTGCTTCAAGCGACGATGTTCGCGCAAGGCTGCTTGCCATATGTACACCGATTTGACAGCATATCTTGACGGTTGTTCTGATTCGCTGAGTTGAGAAGCATCGCATTCGGACGATTGTGATAGCTGGAAGCGGCAGCCGAATCTTGCCGCTTGCTTGTCCGAGCTCCACCGGTTGCTGGTCGGCTCAGTACGAAGTAATGCTGGCCCACAATCCCACGATAGAGTACGGTACGGTGGGTACGGCGTGTGGATTCGTGGATACATGGAGGTCTGCCGCACTGGTATCCTCGGATTCTCTTATTTATCCAGGAAGACGCAGATCAACCCGACTTTGATCTTTGCGTCGCCGCCCGTCCGGTGTGACTTGAGCCAAACACTCAAGTAGCGTCGATGCCCAGGAACCTTAAAGAGCTATCCAACTAGAAGACTATTGTTAGTTTGGAAGTTTCCACGTGATTATTGACGCACAGGCAAAGGAACGACAGACGGCAGCAAACAATCGTACGACTTTTGATTTTTGAGCAACGGCTCCTCCCCCAACCCCCGAAGGCCAGCAGTGGGACAGCATATCGTCTCCACCACAATCGACGCCGGCCCCTTGTTTGCAGTGCTCCATACCAACGATGAGAGTTGCACCGTGGCCGAAGTTGACGGCTGGAAAGACTCGGTAGGCTAGAGATTTTTAACCCCCAGTCCAGGCCAGAAAAAGCTAATGGCGCCGCTGCCTCACATACATGGTGTGAATCCAGGACCCCAAAGCCTTGTCCGGCGCCACCCATGGCACTAGGGTATTTTGCCATTTAGCCTATTTCAGGCTAAACAATACCCGGCAGTGATTGTAGAATATCCTATCAGGGTGTTGGATGCCGTGCTATTTCCATGCCATCCATATTTGATCTTTGAGGGTTTTCACGTTACGACATGAATGTAAGCTCACGACTGGCTGTATTATTCCACAGCACCAACCTCGCTGCTGTGGAGACGGCCATCTACACTTTGTACCTCTTCCTGTGGCGTCGACTGGTCCGACTACTTCAAGGAAGTACATCATTCTATCTTGGATATCTTGATGAGACTGATAGTTGTGGTGTCATAAGCTTTCGCCTGTAACATGCAAACATCCGTCTAGATGGCACCTGTATCTGAAGGCCTCAGGGCACACACGAACGATTTCTGCATGTCTTTCGTTCACGATGATATATATCCAACTCTATGAACCATGCAAGCGTCGAGATGCCATTGACTTGTGGCCGCTTCTCTTGACCAGGGGCACTGCATCCATACTGCTGACATGCTTCGAGTGGCTGATTGATGGGAGCTGGTCGATCCGTGAACTCGGGTCTAAATGCCTAGTTTGGGTGGAATGCTGCCTTCCTCAAGACCGAGCGCACCTTCCAAGGCATCGATGTTCCCGTACTGGTCTTAGGGAGCAACCCCCTATACATACATAGTGATTAACCCACAGCCAGTTTTCCTGTTCCTTTGCCCGGGGGTAGGTTTGGCAATGCCGAGAGCGAAGACCGTAGCTTAATGTGAGGCTATCAGCTGTTACATCACGCCCGCAGGCAGGAGTTTCCATCGACGAGGAGGCGGTTGGACATACGGCGATGGGTTGATGGAAGCGGATTTGGAGGTTTGGAGTTCCGGTTCTCCACGCACAGACCCTATCTAGGTACTTGCGACCAGCTTCCTTCCCCCGCACAACTACCCCAACCATTGTCCAAGTGCGTGCTGACCTGTTTTTGGCATCCCCACAAGCTTCACTTTCCACAGCTGCAACTCAACTACCCCGGCGTGTCTCGGCAACAGTGCCGTGTCCGCCTATCATAATCAGACAGTAATGTGTGCAGACAGGCCAATGGAAGCGCCCGGCGCCGAGGAGACATGGCAGTTGAGGCAGAACTTCACGGCCAGGAAATCGTCTGACGAGCATCTATTCCGGTGCTGGAAACACCAGGACTGCAGAGTATGCCTGGCGGAGTACCAGTGTAGCTGGTGCCCCATGGTTGGTTTGCGGCGTTCGGAATTTGGACGGAGCGGTTGCTGACTTTTGATGGCCGACAGACATCCGCATGTGTTCCAAACGCGTACGCGATACCGTTGCTGGCGCCCGCATACGACGATGACATCTGTCCGCACTGGGCGGAACGCTGGGAAATTCGTACCAGGCCCTTGGGTTGCCAGGTCTCGACCATCACAAGCCTGACATCCATTATTTCCATCGTTTCCACGCTGATGGTCATCTTACTGGCAATCTCACTCACCTTCGGAGTCCGCTGGTGCAGACGGCGTAGCCAGCAAGATCCGGATTGGTGGAGACTTTGGAAGTACGACTGGAGACGCGTTTTCATCTGGAAGAAGGATCAAGGGACCCAGGATGGGGAACAAGATCCGCTACTCGGACATCACAATGCGCGAAACGAAGGGACACAATGAGGATGGTGACCGGCGAGCCGATCTACTGTACCCTCAGCAGCTTGGGAGATTTGAACCGTAGATGGACTGGATCCAAGTCTTCACCAAGTGCTTGCTATCAACTACCACGCTGAAGTGCGACCGACTCTCAGCCAGAGCTGACGGGAGGGATGATGGCTACCTCATCACCTGCCCGGATCTCCAGGCCATCACCATCGTCAGGGCCCGGGATATCTACGTATTCAAGGTTGACTGTTACCAAGCAGGACTCCAATATCCTCTCTTTGATACCACTGTAGCTCTCTTCGAGTGCGTCGAAAAGCTTCTTGATAGACATTGGGGCCGGGAAGGCCTGTTGCTGTTTGGACGTGAAAGAGCCGGCGCTGGCAAAGAACAACACATTAAAGTGATCCTTGGGTGGTCTTGAAACCGCAGTCATTGTTGAGCTGAGGTATTGAGGAGATCTATAGACTTTAAATCGTAAGCTAATGCCATAAACCTCAACGAAACACACGAAATGTGGTCGATAATGTTGGTGTCAGAGATCTTGGTGATAATTTGGATACATCAAAGAATGTTCAGGTAATACATGCTAATTTGGATACATCATCCCAACTTGGAGAGAACAAAGGAAAATCAATCATCTTACCGATTCGTGCCGAACCCTTTCGATGGGTTGAGGAGTGTGAAAGGAGAAGAAGTCTTGTGGATGGGGATTGAGGGAAAGTTTATAGCTACAAAGAAGCTAAGGTGGAGCCCGCATCGGAAGATTTTTTTTTTCTTCTGTTCAGTAGAAAGACCCATGGTCACGTGATGCAACAACGCGATATTCTGCCGGTTTCCCTCCTTAACTATGTTCGCGGCTGGCGGGGCAGGTCGCTACCAAGGCAGCAATTGGAGAGTCATCGTCGCGGTATGCTACTCGAGGTTTTTAGTCTTCTCTTCTTTACCTTTTTTTTTTTTCTTAAAAACTTTTTTTAAATAAAACGTTTCAGAAAGTGGTCTGCGTCTTCGGAGGAAATTATTGGCCTACAACAAAATCTGTCGTGTTAGTCAAGTATGGGCAAATCGCGGGGCACTTGGAGAAATTGAGCAGTTGGTGCAGAAGATTTTGATAAATTTTTCCAGGCTGTCCATTGATGATGATAAGCTCTCCTAAGACGCCGTTCCATCGCCGTCCAGCATCGCATCGCATCACAAACAGATACACGAGGTTTCGTTCGTGCAGAAGTTGCCTCGCGGCTGGTGGGAGAACCTTGCTGTATTCGCAATGCAGAATCCGTTTTTTGACTCCTCTAAGCACGAAAGCCGTGGGCTCGGGTGACGAAGCCCTCGCAATGTTCCTGTCCCATCCTCAGAACCGATATCCGCTCCTCGTAATGTCCATAACACACGCCGCCGCCGGTGATCGCCGTTTTATCTCAGTCTGCGGGCCTCACGCTCAGACTCGAGCAGGCAAAGGATGTCGTCCTCGCGAACTATAACACGCAAAGGTCAGTACCGAGCCGAATTTCAAGTTATTCGCTCTGCCGGGACAGAGAATCGTGGGTATTCGTGGCCGCTTACCGGGTCCCTTGACGTTACGGATGATGGAACGGGTCTGGTCGTCCATGAACTCGACGCGGACCTGGGTGACACCACCGCGGGAGCCTATTACGCTGTCAGACATATGACCAAAGATTCCTCCCTTCATCTCGGCGTATCATGGCGTTGGATCTCGGGAGGTGTCGAGGTTTTGCAATTTCGGGTGGCTGAGCATACCAGTACGGCCCAGGACGCGGGTGACCTTCACAAGCTTGACGGGCTGCTTAGCGGAATCCATTTTGACTGCAGTCAAAAATTACGTCAGTTGTCAAGATCTCTGTCAATTTCGGAGTTCGTGGCACGTACATGTATGTGGTTGCGAAGGTGCTGGTGATGGCTGCGCTTTTGGGAGGGACTCGGAGTGGGCGATGGATTGCAGATGCGATTGCGATGGGTTTGTGGAAGGAAAGGGCAGGAAAACCCTGAGGATGAAAGAACCACCCAGCGCGGGCTTTGATTGGACCAATCCCGCGGTTTGGTTCTGGCTCTAACTGTTTTGGCTCACCGCCCTTGTTCCTTCCACCCAGAGTATTTTCTGCCCCGTAGCATGGTCAACTGTACCTAAGTAGGTACACTGGGCTGACCATGGCATGCAAGTTAACATGAGCATCTTAAAGAGAACCATAAAAGCTGCATTGTGGCATTGGGCGTCAGATCGTATTACCTACGCCAGGCCCCTATTACCTTCTATAATTGAATGAGCCATTTAATGAGACTGGATTGGAGGTTATTTGCACCTAAATTGCCTTATAGAGACCTTTCAACACTTGCTTCTTGCCCAGGCAGTGGTGTCATGGTTCCAGACAGGCCGAGCTTGCATCTTGGGCTACGAGCTATGTACAGGCCATATTTGTAAAAACCCAAAGTCTGCTACATGTGCACGGCATCGCTGTTCGAAATTGAAACGAGCATCACAAGTCGTCAGGTTCAGGAGAACATCGTTAACGGCCAGCTCAAATGCGAGGATAAAATCAGGGGTATCATTGTCGGACAGAGGGCAATCATGGCAACTTCGCAATCCGTCCCTCCAAGTCCTTGACCCAAGCCTCCATGACCTTCATGTTCCCCGTCATAGCCGTACTGCTCTCCTTCATCGCTTCTTCAACCTTCACTAAGCCATCCTTCCACTGTTGAAGATCGGTGGCCATGTCTGCCTGCTGCTTCTCGATCCGTTGGAGCATCTCGCTTGCAGTCGCGGCGTCAGAATGGATTGTCCGAAGCGACCTCAGACGGTCCAGCAGTGGTGGCAGCAGTGGAGCCAGATTTTCAATCGTGGGCAACGTTCCATAGAGAGCGTTAATCTTGGCCAGCTGCTCAGGAGGCTGGGCACCCTCGCTATCCGCTGCACCGTTACCAAGCGTTTCCTGCGCAGATTTGGCCCCTTGTCTCGCCTTTTCCAACTCTTGAGCTTCCTGGATCAAGGTTCGCACCCGGCGGCTAATTGTATCCAGGTTCGACGTCGAAGCCTGTGACAGAGTTGTGATCTGTTTCTGAAGGCCATCGAGAGTCGGAAGAATGGCTCGCGGCAGTCCATTGACATCAACCTCGGGCAAAGCAGTTGAACCGATCCCAATGGCCTTCTCGAGAAGGACCAGCCGTCTGTCAAAGTCCGCTGCTTTGGCAAGGGCATGGCTTTGTTCGTAGGTAGGAGCATATGTGACAGTGTATGTGGCAGCGTTTCTTTGTGGAAGCACATCATGCGGCCCTTCTTGTTGCTGTTGGGATAACTGAGATACCGGTTGAACACTAGACGTTGAGGTAGACGGCGCGATGGTTCTGGAGATTTCGTCCAGAGCCTTGCTCAACGATCCCAGCTTCTCTTCTTGTTCTCCGGGAGCGGGCTGTGCTGCGGTTTCTTTCCTCTTTCTGTGCTCCTCTTTAGCCTCTTCGACCTCGCGCTGCAGCCGCGCAATCTTCCGTTCGAGATTAACCTCGTCATCCTCGTCACTGAGATCGCCTATTTCGGCTGTACCATCTTGGAGAATGCGCCGGCGCCTCGTCGAGGCCTTGTATGACTTTCGTTTGCCGTCTACCCGATCCGAAAAGTCGACCTCCGTAGCGTCTACTCCTGCGGGCAGAAAACGAGACCGCGCTTGGTCTACTCGTAGTCGGGACCGCGAGATCCCGTTCGTATCGTCGTCCAGATCGTCATCGAAGTCATCGTCCGAATGCGACTGTCCGGCCGTCGTCTACTACACGTCAGCCATAACCAATGATGCTGGTAGAAACGAATCTCACAGGAACGGTCGAAGTGTCGTCGGTCAGCTCTGGGGTCTCGTACACATCGGGGGCCGAGTCCTAGGCGGTGTCAGCAGGGCTGCTCATGCTCTAGCCATTCATAAATACGGTTGCTCGGACCAGATCTGGCAGCGCTGCATATTTGCGGTTTAAGGCCATGGTGTGAATTCAAGGGGCTCGCTGTAGGGGGTTATCAATCGCGCTGCTTGGTGTGAAGATGTCGACCGCAGCAGAGTCAACAAGATGGCTAAAGACCCCTACGCGGAAAGCCAAGCTCCAGTGCTATTAGTTGCTGAGTGGCAGGGGCCACCCATTAATTGAATGGAAGTTTACCTATCGAGTTAGTGGCAAGTGGGGTAGCATCGGAACGCTGTGAATCTACCCCCGAGTATGCAGGCACGCGTTCAGAACGCGACTGCAGCTTCAAGCACTTGGCCTCAAGCGACAACAACTTACTTTTGTGGTCCCCGATAAAAAACAAGCTCTCTTCGCAATTCGATGCGACTGCACCCTCGGAAAGGAGTCAACAGGCCGTTATCAATTGATGTATCTGTTACCTTACGACGCATATGCTGACTCTGATCTGCCACCCCACTAAGGTCCTTGATCGTCAGCCAGGCCGGTCGGGACTGATAGTGAACGCCCTATGAGAAACCTGCAGCTCATCCAACACAGTCGCCTCTTAATCCATGAAGCCGGGGTTTTGGCGCAAAAAAGAGGCATAGCTTCTAGTTGAATCTGCCAACATGTCCAGCGGAAGCGATTATCGAACTGGGCGGCGAGCGGGCCTCTCTAGGAATGCAAAACCCCCTCCTTTGCTCCAGACGCTTAACGGCAAATCTCGTTTCGAGCCTAAGATCGATGATCCGCCAATGGATGACACAGAGTCGGAACTGAGTGAGGCAGAGCCCCTTACGACCAGCCACACGATGGCTTCAGAAAAATTCTCGAGTGAAAAAGCAGGGTCGGAACTCACGCAGTCTTCGCCGCTGCCACAGCCTAAGGAAAGCCGCTTCCGGAGCACGTCGAAGCCTACTGCGGACTTTTCGGACTCAGACAAGGATACACGATCATCTCGAGCTGATATTCAGCGCCCCCCTTATTACGGCACTTCAAGGAGGGGGCAAGAACAAGCCAAGGAGTACAGGGCATCTCAAGAGAGTAATTTGGGCCCGAGACGCAGCACTAGCTATCAGGGTTCGAATACCACAGCTCGTGCAAGCAAGAGAGGCCTGCCAGACGAATCTTTGCCTAACTTGGTATCTAACAAAAAGAGGACATTGACCAGGAAGCTTGATGACGAGAGAGAGGCGAAAAAACTGCGGGGGGGGAGGAAGTCCTACTCCCAACGTGATAAGAAAGATATTCGGCGATCGAGCAAGTTGCCTGAGAGATCGACGATGAAAAGCTCTCAAGAAATGGCAGCGACCAAACGGAAGAAAGAAGGTTTGGTTCTTCTACAACTGATGTTCCCGATCTTCTGCTGACACTTGTTCAAGGTCGCTCTCCGAGTCCAAAAAGGCCTCAGCCGTCATTCAAGGCATACGACGACGATCCCTTCGATCAGTTCTCTGGCAAGGGTCCTCAGAAAGACCTCATCAAGATTCCATCCTTGCCATCTTCACCTCCTGGTAGCCCTCCGAGATCGAAATTTCAAAAGCATTCATCTCTCAGCCCCAGCACATCGCCTCGACGTACCATCGAGGCCAAGTTCAAGCACCCATCTGGCTCGCTACCTGAGCCCCTGCATGGTCCTACAAGGGGGTCAGCAGATCTTCTCGATCTGGAATCAAGCCCTGAGGCTCTTTATAAAAGGCACAAGGGAGAGAAGGACTCGTTTTTGGATATCTCGGACCACTCAATTTCGGATATCGACACAGAGACACGGTGCCCAATGTGTAGTGAGATTGTTGAAAAGGCTCTCCTGGAGGGCTTTTCAGGGGGTGCACGGCTACATATTCGCAGGCAGATTCAATTCTGTCGACTGCACAAAAAGAAGTCAGCCGAAGATGCATGGGATGCCCGGGGATACCCCAAGATCGACTGGGGAATTCTTGATTCCCGGCTCGCAACTCATTACGACTTCCTTCGGAGCATCATCAACGGCGGCTCGTCTCACTACGCTTCACTGTTGGTCGACAAAGTGAAGGAAGGCAAGGACCGGACGTTGCTGAAAGCAGGGGACAGCCTAACACCTGGATACTACGGTCCACGTGGCCTACGTGCAATGTCAGAAAGCATCATTGGCAATTTCTCGTCGGTTTTAAGGGAGCGAGCTGTGGAAGACCGTGTCATATCATCGCGTGGATATTCCAGTTATGTGGAGGCAGTCTTGGTTCCCGAGTTGGCCGTTCAGTTGATCTGCGAGGACATGGAGGTCAAGATAGATGAAGCAAGAACGATTCTCGAGGAAAGCAAGTGGATTGGCGATTTGCTCCACGATGATGCTGGGGATACGGTTGATCAGCTGAGCGACGATGAACAGGCAGGAGGACACTGAAAGAGCAAAACAATGTGGAACATGTGGCATGTGATATCCGGAGCGGCAAGAGACCAGGTCGCCAGCGTTTGGTCTCGATATGGCACCTCAATAGCATTATGAAATAAAAAGCGGCACAATAGGTATACGGCGAGGGTTAACCCTTTGTCCAGATCTGCTCACGTTATGTCGCAGCATGTTGTCTAACAGTGTACAGTTATCATGGCCAATATCAAAAATGAGCGCCAGCCGTAGGATTTTTTTTATTTCATTGTTTAAACGTTACAATCCCAAGGCCTCCCTTCTGCCCGTGCTGTTCAAATCAAGATACGGCGCCTCGCCCAGGGACGCCACGCGATCACCTGCTCTGGCGTCGACATAGTCGTAGGTCGCGCAGTGCCACATGCTCCGGTTGTCCCAGATGGCGAGGTCGTTCTGGCGCCACTTGAAGCGGACCTGGGCGTCATGGTTCTGAGTGACGAGGTTGAAGAGGTAGTTCAAGAGGACGTCGGACTCGTCCTTTGTGACGCCGTTGATGCGCTTCGTGAAGCCCTTGTTCACGTAGACGGACTTCCAGCCAGTCACAGCTACAGACTTTGTCAGCGCTCGGAGCTCCCAGAGGTCGATCAGAGAGGGCGATCACTCACGGTTGGTGCGGATAACAGGATGGACGGCCTTGAGCTCAGAGCCCTTGTTCAGTGGCGAGCCTCGGAGACCATCTCGAAGAGGGTTGCCCAGCCTTCGGGCCTCGTCGTGGAAGAATGTGGCGTCGTGGGTGGCTGTCAACCCTTCAAGGAATTTCTGCATGGCAGGGGAGAGTCTGTCATAGATCTCATATCCGGAAGCCCACAACTAACCACGAGGATTTTCAGTGAGCGGCAAAGTCCATCTACATACGTTTGCAACGGAGAGGTAGCCCAACAGGGGCCACGTAAGGGTTTGCAGAAATAAAAACGTACAGTGTCACCACCGGTCGGGGGCAGGGTGTGGATCTTGAGCATTGCATAGTCTGAGGGGACCTGCTCAAAAGAGATGTCGGTGTGCCAGCCGGCACTAGCGAAACGGCTCACGTCGCTCAACTGGTGGGTGAGGCCGCCTCCTTTTTTTTGCTTTTCGCTGCTGATGACGCTAATCTGGTCACCGAGCTCGCTACCCTCCTCAGTCAGGGGATGAATGTGAAGACCTGACGATTCGGGCTTTTTCGGCCGAGTTAGGTTTCATAGTCGATGGCAAGATGAGGCTGGTTCATCAAATGTTGGTCTGGACTTACACATCCGGCAAGCTCTGTGAGACGGAGGCAGAAGTCCTTCATCTGAGTTGGCGTAACATTCTGGTCGCGCAGGAAGACAACTCCGCGCTGAGAAACTGATGTCACTCTTAGTATGATGTACTATGAGGTGAGAACGGGAGTTGTCAAGGCTTACTTGTGACAGCCAAGTCTCTGATGACCTGATCGTCGGCCTTGAGAAGGTCAACCACCTGAAGGCCCTCGTACTCCCGACCAATGACAGGGGTGATGTCCATGCTCTTGTAGTTGTCCAGCGAGCCGGAGTATACAAGCGGCTTGCTCAAACGGGGGCGGGCGATGGGGTTTCCGCCAACGATGTTGGCCTCGGCCGCTCCGTTTGGGACCGCTGAAGGCATAGTGATGTTGTCGTTGTGCGAGCCGTTGACCTTTCTTGATTTAGACGTTTGGAAGTTTTCAGAGCTGGGAGATGAAGGGCGCTTGAGGGCTTCGTCGACCATGATTTAGGCAAGATCTGATAACAAAAGGAGTCGGCAAGATATATATGAGTGGTTTTGTGCCCGAAACAGCCGTGGTTCCTCTGTCCCCAGATTCAGGTACGTATTATAGAAGAGCAGTGTATTTTCTAGCTTAGAAAGCGAGACCGAGGGGCAAGTCATTTGATGGGGTGAGAAAGGAAGAAGATCGTCAGACGTTTGCTCCAACCGTTTGCTGCGTTCGGTTCGTGAGTGCGACGAAGGCTCCCGGCCGGTGGGCGATGGCGCAATCACAAAGCTTCCTAATTCGGCGAGGCCTGCCCGCCGTGACCAATCAGTTGGGCGGGGTCCCCCGCCGGCGAAATCAACGCCCGGAGAAAATCTCGGAGTCCTAGTGCGACATCATCACGTCGTTGCAGCGCCGGGGCTACCTTGTATCTTGCATTTGTCCATTTCGTTTTACGCAAATCTCCGGCGCATGACACCCTCTTTGACGAGACTAAAGCCTTGGAAGCAAGCCGCCTTTTTCAAGGAAAAAGAATAGCTTACCGGCGGTTGAAATATGCTTATTGTACCAGGCGATGTTCAATATGGCCAAGACGTCCACGGGAGGGGTTCCAAGGACCCGGACGAAGAGGGGCGGCGGAGAAAACGATGGGAGTCTGGGGTAAGATTTGTTTTTTTTTTTTTTTTGGAGACCTGCAACTCCGGCTAGACCATCCGGGCCCGGTCGCTGTCAGACACATGTAGTGTATCCGTAGGTTGGGGAGCCAAACTCCGAGGAGGCAGGGGGGGAAAAAAGGTTGTCGACACCACCTTCTCCCATCCCCTGTCCGACCACATGGCTCACCTCCACTAGTTTGTGGATTCCCTCGAAGACGCAAGAGCGAGGGTAGATGTCGTGAGAGCTATGATCTGCTACCCTCAACCAGAAACATCAGAGCCTCAAAGAACGACTATTAAGTTGAGCGTTCACTAGGTTCCATTGACTGCCATCATCGATCACCGCCGCCTTGCCATTCTCTCTGCGGAACCCTGGGCTAGAACTTTTTGGAAGCTCCAACAGTTCGCCCACGCCGTCCTCCAATCTTGCCGTCCCCCTCTACCTTCCAGAACTACACGAGCGCACCGGAAACAGCAAAGATGGCCGACGTCAAGACCCACGCGCCGAACCCGGCCAGCGACAACGGCAAGGACGCCGCCTCGGTCTACCAGGTCTCGGACACTTCTGCTGTTGTCGGTCGCGAGAACCTCTCCGACCACGTGCCTCCGCACGAGTCCTACGAGGGAAAGCACCGGTGGGATCCTGCCGCGACCTGGACCGCAGCCGAGGAGAGGCAGGTCGTGCGCATCACGGACATCAAGTTGCTATCGATACTCTGCGTCATGGTATGCATAAACTCTTGAACCCGAGGGCGAGATGCCATCCCCGCTGACTTTTTTTTTCAGTTCTTTGGTCTCCAGCTGGACAGAGGAAACTTGAGTAACGCTCTGGCCGACGATTTTCTCAAGGACATGAAGCTCAGCAGCGACGACTACAACAACGTAAGTCCCCGCCAGTCCTTGTAATAGAAGCACGATGCTAAGGCTGACATCCCTCTCATAGGGAACCACGATCCAACTGCTTGCTTTCCTGACCACCGAGTTCCCCGTCCAGTTCCTCACCAAGCGGTTCGGCTTCAAGTACGTGCTGCCAACCATGATGATGATGTGGGGTATCGTCACTTGGGCGCAGGCCTGGATGACGACCCGCGCCGGATTCTACGTGACGCGGGCCCTCATTGGGGCGTGCGAGGGTGGCTTCATCCCCGGTACTATTCTCTTTGCGACTTACTTCTATACGTCCAAAGAGCTCTCCGTCCGACTCGCCGTGTTTTGGTCCACATTGAACGTTGCGCGAGTCATATCGGCCTTGCTGGCTGCGGGCATCCTCGAGATGCGCGGCATCGGGGGATACCCTGGGTGGTTTTGGCTTTTCCTCGTCGAAGGGCTTCTCACCTGTGTTCTGGCTGCTCTGGTACGTTTTGAGTCTCACCTTTTTCTCAGTCGCAACAAGTGAAGCATCGGTGCTGACATGGAGTTCACAGGCCTTCGTTTGGCTCCCCAGCTCCCCGACCAGTACCACGACGCCCATCTGGAGAAAGCCATGGTACACGGAGAGACAAGAGGTCATTATGACCAACCGTATCCTCCGCGATGACCCGGCCAAGGGCCTCACAGCGCTCAAGGAGCCCGCAACGTTCAAGGATATCAAGAACGCCTGGACCGACCCCTCGATGTGGGGCCTCTACTTCATCGGCCTCATCGCCTACATCCCCGCCACTCCTGTCCAGGCCTACCTCACGCTCACGCTCCGCAGCCTCGGCTTCACAACGTTCAACTCCAACATGCTCACGGTGCCCTCTGCTGTTCTGCAGATCATCACGATGCTCGCGCTTGCTTTCAGCAGTGACTACTTCAAGGAGCGCGCGTTCCACTGCATCTTTGGCGAGTTCTGGATCATGCCCCTTCTCATAACGCTACTCACACTACCGGACGGCGGCCGGGAATGGTCTCGTTACTCGGTCATCACGCTCATCTCCGGATACCCATACTTCCACCCGATTGTTTCTTCGTGGATCTCTGAGAACACGTTCGACGTCAAGAAGCGCGCCATCTCAGCAGCGACATACAATGTCATCGTCCAGATCGGATCCCTCATCGGCTCGCAGATCTACCGCAAGTACGACGTACCCTACTACAAGCGCGGCAACACCGTCTGCGTATCCATCTGCGCCCTTAGCCTCGTCGTGTTCTTGTCTCACCGCCAAGTTCTCATAATGTTGAACAAGCGCAAGGAGCAGGCGTGGAACGCCATGTCGAGCGAGGAGCGGCAGGCGTACCAGAATGACACGGTGGCGCGCGAACAGGACGGAAACAAGCGTGTGGATTTCAGATTCGTTTACTAGAAATGAGTCCGAAGCTTCTCGGATGAAACGCGACGGAGTTCGGTTCAGCATATATGAATACCAATTTTTGTTTTGAAAAAGATGGCAATTTGAATAACCATATTTTGATGAGAGTGGGTACTGAGGGTTCGTTCGGGTATAGAGACACATGCATCAAGCATTTACGCTTAGGGGTAATACTTATTATTAATAATGGTAACTTGCACCGGCATGAAGAATAGATCTAGAAGAAACCCATGGCCGCTCTGGGCTCGGGACTTTTGTTAATTGTGAGATGCTCTCCAGGGTTTGTGGTCTGTACTGTGCGCATGGCAGGATCACATCAAGGTCGTCAACGGACCCAGATGTACGTAGTAGGAGTAAACTTCTCCACAGCTCTCCTTATGGGCTTAGCGCATCGAACACACTACAGCCCCAGTCTCCACCTTCTGCATCTTGCATCTCAAACGTCACCCGCTCCCCTCCACACCCCCAATTTTCTCTTCTCCTTGGAGCCTGCAAGTGTTCCATCCGTCCCTCTCTTTGCCGTCACTGCCGTCACTCCAAAGTCGCCGACCGAAGGGGCCCCTATCAACCTCTCCAAACCACGTCGGAATCGGCTTGCTTGATTCCACATGCATCTCGCGATTTGGAGCCTTGCCCTGTAAACTAATACCCATCGTTGCCCCTTCCCTCCCATCCCACTCTTGTCGGACGCCACAATACCTATCAGACCGGGACCTGTCTTGGTGAAAGTGACAGATCTCACACACACCACGCCTTGTACAGTACATGAAGACAAGACACTGTGGGAGACGACCAACTAGTTCGAGGCGCTGCCTGGCTGCCATGACACGACGCAAGTAAGCCAACGTTCTCTTCCGTCTTTGCGACATGTCAACCAGGCGCAAGATTGGCAAGAGAGCGTGTGACGCGTGCAAGATCCGCAAGATCAAGTGCACAGAGGTCCCGCCCTGTGACGGCTGCGTCGCCATTCGCACGGCATGTACCTTCAACAAGGTCCCTGCCACCCGTGGACCCCGGAACCTGAGGGCGAAGACGATACGGCAGATTGCACAGGCCCAGCAGGAAAGTGCCGCCGCCCCCCCAAGCCCAAACTCGCCAACCGGCGATGGAGCTGCCGTCGCATCTACCCCGGCCGGAGCTGCCGCACCCTCTCAGTCCTCGCTCTCATCTGACGGAGGTTCGTCCGAAGGCGCCGGAGACCCCACCGGCAGACTGAGACTGGTTCGGCAAGAGACCACTATCCCGCAGGCGCAGAGGACCCCTAGTGCGTCGCTTGTCTTGAGACTATGTATTTATCGCCTGCGTTTATTCCCTGTATGGCCCATCATCGCAGTCGAGGAGATCATGGCCTCGCTGTCCCGCGACGCCGATGATCTGGATTCTTATGTCTTGGCCAACGCTGTTGGGGCCGCGACCATCGCTCAGCTGAAGCTGACCACGACGGACAATGATGACCCGGCGACAGCAAGCTCGATGGAGGCCGAGTGCCAGCGGTCGAGGATGGCATTGCAGGAACGCGAGGGTGGCCCGCCGATGAATCTCAACTGGCTGAGGACCTCTTTTTTCCTCCACGTTTATCATGAAAACCAGCAGCCTGGAGGGGCCAAATCCCTGCTCTATCTACGGGAGGCTATCACTATTGCCCAGATCATGGGACTGCACAAGGAATCCTCGTATATGGCCTTGCCGTTACCAGAACAGCAGATGAAGAGGAGAATACTGTGGCTACTCTTCGTTACAGAAAGGTTTGTCTCGTCATTATTGTTCGATTCCAGCTGCTCCTAACACGATCTCAGGGGTGTGGCAATGCTCCACAAGCTGCCCGTGGTTCTGAAATCCAACCTACGCTTCCCGTCACTGGACGGTTCCGGGGTAGGCGAGGACGAGGGCCATGTCCTCCCGGCGTTCAAGAAACTAGCAAATCTTTTCTGGATATTCGATCAAAGTGGCGCCTTTGACATACTCCAGAATTCGGATGATGAGGACGCCATGTGGTCCATGGCAGACGGTCTACAGACCGCCAGCAGAGCATGTCTTGATGTTGTTCAGAGGAAGCTCCAGGAGATACCCCTGGACTCTGATGCGAGCAACGACGTCCAGCGTGCTGACATCGTCGTCACGCGCCAGTGGATGCAGGCTGTGTTGTGGAAAGTCACCATGAATCACGGCCGCTCCTGGTCGTCTGGAAACTACAGCAACGATAACAACAGCAACAATAACAGCACCAACGTTACATCCCTGTCGCACCCCATACATATAGCTAAAGAGTTCCTTCAGCTCATTTCGCAGCTTCCAAGCACTGCTATTGAAGCCCATGGTCCTGGAATAGTACGTGTAGCTGATTATCGTCTGTCAGGTCACGTCCTTGCTAACACCTTTTAGGAGTTCAAGATCTATGAGATTGCTAGCGCCGTCACTGATGCCGTTGCGAACAACTTCCGACTACCGCGATCCTCTACGGACGGCCCGAGAGACATCTTGCTCCAGCTGCAAAGGGTTCTTGCGTCGTGTCGCGGCGGTAACAAGGCCCTTTTGGAGATGCTTTGCGCCCGAATATCCGAGGTTCAGCACGGCCCACTGCTGGCCATGAACAAGACTCTGACTCCTCGAGTCCAAGAGGTTGATGACGACCAATGGCGCAACGAGAGAGCTGCCGCAGCCAACGGTCAAACGAACGTATTTGCAGCAACTAACGACGTGCCGGATTCCAACCAAACATACGCCCAGGCCCAGGCAAGCTTTCTCTCGATGTTTAATAGGGACGGCGCCGCGCAGAGCTTAGGCAATAGCGGTCCAATGCCGATACCTCCCCAGCGGCAGGATCTTAGTCGGCCAATTTGGGACCACCAAAACCAGATGGGTCCAGGAGCACACGATCTCATCGATCAACTACAGAACTTTGACGGCTCCTTCAACGCGGTTGAGTCCAACGGCACGCTCGACATGCTCTTTGCCAACGGGGTCTCGTGGGACAATGTCGCAAACGATGACTGGATGGCCTCGGTGCAGAACAACCCAGGCGCCTTCAGCAGTCCCACGCAGCCTGCTACGGACTTGCAGAGAACTTATGAGTAGACTCCATGATGGATTTTTTTTGATTTTTTTTAGTGACAAAATATCAGCGGCCGCCGCGACCTCCTGACTCCTAGGCATGGTTCGAGGTTCATCAGACAAAAAAATTAGGTTGTTCACAGGCAACTGGCTCACGCGCGAGCGGAGAGTCCTGCTCAAGATGATACCTGATGTGTCGAACTGAATACATCGACCTTTCGGAACCGGGTGTACGAGTATCGCCCCTCCCCCCCCAGTCTCTCGCAACCTGCAATCTTGAGCACCAGTAAGTCTTGCGCACATTCTGACGTAGCTTCTTAACGACTGCAAAGCTTACAGTAGCACAGCACGCTGTGTGCCATATCAAACGTGGTAGAAGCATGATAAAGAAACGCAATCTATTCAAAATCTGTCTATAATCTACATTTCTACTTCCCAAGCCGGGTCATAACTTAGGCTTCCAAAAGCACCACCGCTCCCTCATATGGTCCAAGTGCAACCTTATCTCCGCTAAAGTCTTTCGCCGTCTTCCCGCCATTGGTAACCAGTACCTCTTTGACGCCGCCCTTCAATCCCGTCCACTCTACAGTCTCGGAAGAAAAGTTGCAGGCAACAACTGCGACAGCGCCATCATCGGATCGCCGTGCGTACGCAACAATCTGCTTGTGCTTCTCGTCAACGAGGTTGAAGTCGCCATAGACAAAGATATCGAGGTGCTTCTTCCTCGTCGCGAGGACGGTCTTCCAAAAGTTGAAGACGGAGTTGGGATCGGATACCTGGGACTCGGCGTTGATCTCCGTGTGGTTCGGGTGAACCGTCATCCACGGCTTGGCGTCGGCCGTCGTGAAACCCGCGTTAGGCCCGGCGCTCCACTGCATCGGCGTCCGCGCGTTGTCGCGCGACTTCTTTTGGTATTGTGACTTGAGAAGCTTCAGGTAGTCCTGGTCCTTGGAGTCCTTGTTCAGACTGCGGGTTGTCTGTCAGTTATACACGCATCCTCAACAAGTGGCAACACGCGGATCATGTAACACTCACTTCCAATGGTTCAGGCAGTCAATGTCCTTGTACTCCTCCATCGGCCACTCCTTGGGGACGTTGACCATGCCGATCTCCTGGCCCTGGTAGACGAAGGGCGTGCCGGCCTGGAAGGCTTGGAACATGGAGATAATTTTCGCGCTGTCAACGCGGTGCTCGGGCGCGTCGTTGGCGAAGCGGCTGATGGAGCGCGGCTGATCGTGGTTCTCAAGGTACAGCGCGTTCCAGCCGTTGTTAGTGTACATGAAACGCTGCCACTTGTCGGCGATGCCCTTGAGGTCGGCCAGATCCCACTCCTTGGGGGAAAACTTGCCGTGAGGGCCGATGTCGATGTCGACACTAAGACTGTGTCAGTGGACCGAACGTGGTTGATCCCAGGTAAGAGAAGTAGAGGGAGAGGGAGGAGGAGATAACGCACAACTCAAAGTGGAAAATCATGCTCAGCTCGCCGCGGTCCCCATTGACGCTCTTGATGACCTCGTTGGGATCCCTGACACAGGGCATTTCACCGACGCTAAAGGCATCGTACTCTTGCAGGATGGCACCCAGCTCCTTGAGGTACTCGTGCAGCCGGGGCCCGGCGGAGTAGAGCTCGGAGCCGGAGAGGACCTCCTGGTCTGAGTCAGGGAAGTCCTGGGGCTTGCTGATGAAGTTGATGACGTCAAGGCGGAAGCCGTCGGCACCCTTGTCGAGCCAGAAGCGCATGATGGCGTGAACGGCGTCGCGCACCTTGGGGTTCTCCCAGTTGAGGTCGGGCTGCTCCTTTGCGAAGAGGCGGAGGTAGTACTCGCCGGTGGTCTCATCCCACTCCCAAGCGCTGCCTATGATTTGCGTTAGCCTCTCTTCCAATATCATGACCGTCTCCGGATTGGACAGGGAGACCGACCTTGGAAATGCGACTTCCAGTTGTTGGGCGGCTGGCGGTTGCCATGGGCGTCGTACTTTGGCTTGCGCCAGATGTACCAGTCGCGGTATGGGTTCTCCTTTGAGCTGCGCGACTGCTTGAACCACTCGTGCTGGTCGCTCGTGTGGTTGACCACAAGGTCGAGCACGAGCTTCATGCCGCGCTCGTGGAGCTTGTTTTTGAGGACGTCGACGTCCTCGACGGTGCCGTAGGGCTCGTGGATCTTGCGGTAGTTGCTAATATCGTAGCCCTTTCATGACAGTCCGTCAGTAAGCTTCCATAGCGATCCCATCGGCGAATCTAGAAGGTCCAGGTTTGCGACAGCGCCTGGGCGGAAGGGTGTAAGCGTCAAAGACAGCGACGGCTTACCATGTCGACCTGGGGGCTCTCGAAGATGGGGCTCAGCCAGACGATGTCGACGCCCAGCGACTTGAAGTGGTCGACGCGCGAGATGATGCCCTTGAGGTCGCCGACGCCATCGCCGGTCGAGTCCTGGAACGATGCCGGATAGACCTGGTACACAGAGCTCTCCTTCCACCACGTGCGCAGCTGCTTTTTGGGCGATTGCCCGCCGGCGGCGCCTTCGACGGGATGGGGAGCCATTGTGGTCGCCTTATATGTTTTAGAGCCGGGATCCCAAGTTCTGCGAGCTTCGTTGGCGGGATGAGGATTCGTCGAGATCGCGAGTATTGGGGGTAATGCGCCGCAAGAGATACAGTTTCAAGGGAGACAGACCAGACTGCCGTTCATCTAAATAGAATGGTCGAGGGAATTGGTTGCAAGAACGCGTGCACGTCTGCTCATTGCTTAAGAACTTGGGATATCCAAGAAGAGAGCAGCCACAAGCCAACTCTATCACTACTTGTACGTGTTTGGACAAGCCCGGCGAGGGTTTCTGCGAGTAAAGAGGACGAAGCGACCAATTGGGGAAATTTCTGGCAGAGGACACAGGCACGTAAGGGCTTCCCTTCCCGTTCACGCAAGAGACACACGAGACGGGGGGGTGGAAAACGGATCGGCGGCCACAACAAGGCACGGGAGAGACTTCGACGTCTATTGGCTGAGGTATCTGCGGTTCTCAGTTATGCGTGCTTGCTCTGCCAGCTTTGCTCCCTGCCCGACTCGCCTTGGGCTCGTGGGGAATGGTTTGATCTGGGTGGAAGATTTTTGGGGAAGGGGTGGGGTTATGGGATGGGATTGTAGCGAACGAAGCTGGAGCAAACGGACGAATGAGTTATGCCTCCGATATAGACACCGATGGTCGCTGTGTGCCCCTCCATCCGCTGGATGTTCGTCATGCGGGGTAAATCAACCGCCTGCAGAGGTTCCGCCTTAGCCGCTTGGTGAGGATACCTAGGTACCTATCCGTACAGTACCTAGGTACCCAGGGGGAGAGACGCGAGGCAGTGCACGGTCCCGACAGCAACGTGCTACGGTTCTTGTTTACAGATAAGTACTAGGTGGTTGATCAGCACGACAATGATTCAGCCCTCGGCGGTATTACCGGGTATTTTTCGAAGCGGCCTTGGCAGGAGAGCATTAGGGCAATGCGAAAGCGCGAGCCCATGCATGAAGGCCATTACGTTGTATCGTGTTGCAGGCTGAGAAGATCTATCTCACCTCGTGTGCGAGACCAAAGTGTGTGTCTGTCAGTACCCCGCCGACGAAATAGTGGCCCCATCCGCCCTCCGAAAGATTCACCGGGGGTCTTGTGGTACCGGAGCCCACTCCGGCAAGGATCCGAGAATGACATACCCAGGGCCTGAAAGTCGAGGAACGGGGTTCGCATGCCTTCGAAAGCAAGGGAAGCTTGGGTTCGAGACTTTGTTTTTCTCTTTTCTCATTATTGACTCTCACTCACCAGTGACTTTGTTCTTCAGCTCGCTTGCTCATTGGGCAAGATGAAGCCTTCTCTCTTACAGTTTACCTTCAAAGACCAGTTCCCACCCCTCTGCAGGGAGATAGATATAAACTAACAGGCAAATATTTATCGTTGTAGCGAGCCAGGGATGAAAGACGGCAGATAAAACGCATTCGCGGGCAGGGTCACAAGCTTGAGGCAAGCCAAACACAACGACACAAACCCGCCTGTCTACCCAGCGACTCTTCCTTAAGCCCTTGATGATTCTGAAATTGCAATACTCGCCAGCTCTCTGACGCGAATGCAAGAGCTCCGTCGGCGACCAACCCCGCCATGTCGAAAAGGGCCTTCAGCTCCTGGCTGCGCCCCGGCGTCCTTTCAGGGGTTTCCAAGGGAGTCTGCGCAACTACTCCTCAGCCTCAACAGTCGCCCGCGTCTCAATGGCGTCGCTTTACCTCAAGAACCACGCCGCGCCAGCGACCCATCGTCCTGGCCGCCGGCGCTGGCGTACTGGCAACGACTCTCCTCCTCAACCTCGCCCCGACCTCGAAACCAAACCGACCGTTCAGAGACGATTCCGAAAGCTCCTCCTCGGCGGCAATCGCGTCTCTCCTCGAGCCCGACTCACCATGGCCCCAGTACCGCCTCTAGGAAGTAAAACGCCACGACGGGACCTCGGAACGCCCCTGGGTCACTTACCGAACCTCCGTCTACGACATCACGGACTGGGTCGCCGCGCACCCGGGCGGTGACGTCATCCTCCGCGCCGCCGCCGGCCCCGTCGAGCCGTACCGGGATATATTCAGCATCCACCGCCAGCAGCTCGACAACGTGCTTGCCATTCTCGAGGGCTACAAGATCGGTGAGGTCGACGGCGCCGACGTGCCGCTCCTCTCCCAGGGCGACGGCGTGGATGATCCCTTTGCTGACGACCCACCCCGCGACCCCCGACTGAGGACCCTTACCGAGCGCTCGCGCAACGCAGAGACGCCAGCCGAGGGGCTGGGGCACTTCGTGACACCCACGGAGCTGTTCTACGTGAGAAACCACATGTGGGTCCTCGTCGTAGATGAGGCGGGGGGTGCGGACGGGCATGCGCTGACGATCGAGATGCCGGACGGCGAGGAGAAGGTATACACGCTGGGGAAGCTGCGGACGCGGTTTGTCACGCACAAGGTCACGGCGACGCTGCAGTGCGCGGGGAACAGGAGGTAGGACATGACGACGCATGCCTCCAAGACGAGCGGGCTGCAGTGGGCCACGGGCGCCATTTCGACGGCTGAGTGGGAGGGCGTGCTCCTCCGCGACGTGCTGGCCGATGCCGCGGGCTGCGAGATGAGTGTCGCGAACCTGCCGCCGCCCGAGAGGCACGTACACTTGGTTGGATTGGAGGCCTACGCCGCGAGCATCCCCGCCGCCAAGGCGCTCGACCCGCTCGGCGACGTGCTCCTCGCATTCCGCATGAACGGCGCGCCCTTGCCGCGGGACCACGAATACCCGCTGCGCGCCGTGGTCCCGGGCAACGTAGCAGCACGGAGCGTCAAGTGGCTGCGGCGCATCGCACCGTCAGACGAAGAATCGCCCTCACAGTGGCAGCGGCGGGATTACAAGGCCTTCTGCCCGGGTGAGGGGTCGAAACCTGATTGGGACTCGGCACCGGCGATACAGGAGATGCCGGTCACATCAGCGGTCACTGCCGTGAGGGTGGAGGCCGCGGGGGCCCCGACCGACCGGGGGAGGCGGGTCAAGGCGGAGGGGTACGCGTATTCCGGGAAGGGGAGGGAGATTGTGAGGGTGGACGTGAGCATCGACGGCGGCCGGACGTGGAAGACGGCGGACCTAGTGAGGGATGCGGCTGTCGGCAAAAAGGCGTGGTGCTGGAAGCGGTGGCGGTACGAGGGGCTGGTCGCAGACGGCCAAGGCGCGGGTGGTCACGGGGAGGCTGTGCGGCTGGTGGTGAAGGCGACGGACGAGGCATACAATACCCAGCCGGAGAGCCACGCGAGCATCTACAATGTGAGGGGGAACCTGGCCACGGCGTGGCATCGTGTGGATGTCACCGTGGAGTAGAGGGACCACATACTTTCCGTGACTGTGCACGACGGTTCGTTCATGAGCGTTGGCGCACGTCGGACATGGAGAGCTGTCAGTGTGCTACATTTTTATCGATAATAGTAACACGTGATTATCTTGACCCAAATTAACCATGACATTAGACATCGATGATACTTTCAGGACCGAGGTGTCTCCCCGAACATCCTTTTATTATAAGCACGCCCCGCCTGAATACCTCCGGATGAGCTCACTCGGAAGGGGGGTTGGTGAGGTTGTCACCACGACTGCTGTACGGCGTATCTCTCCCGAGGCCGCAATCCTCTCCGACGACAGACGAACCAGCAAAAACCCAGGTGCCAAACCGCACAGCTCATGACTAGCTGACTGTCTCCTAAGCTCAGTTGTGGTGGGTTGGGCTGCATGCGAGCGAGGTGGGAAAGATAGGCTAAAGGGCCCCCACCACCTCCCTAACTGCACCACACCGTAGCGTATCTAGGTACGCTAGTTGTATGCAGGCGTTCTCCCAGCTCTGCAATGTCCTACCTCAACGAGCCTGGTCATCATTGGTCAATGCCAAAAACTATCACCGAGTGACGTGGTGGGGGGGAAGGAGGGATGGAGGAGGGGTGGAGGGGAAACACCAGCTGTCCGAGAATTTCCCCGCCATCCACCGTGCGGGGCAGCGTTTTGGGGCTCGCGTTGACGTGCCAGGGAGAGGAGAGGAGAGAAAACAGAGGGAGTAAGGGTTGGCAGAAGTTGCGAGCGAACAAAACTCGTCCATCTTCTCCCATACTCACTCACGCACGAAGAAACGGAAAGCGCGGCTTCGACCACAACTACGACGAGAACGCCGCCTACTCACAGCCACCTGAAAACCTCAACGACAGACCGCGGCATCCATACATACAAGATGGCGTGGGAAGAGCCGAGAAAGACGGGCATGCAGTACCGCCGCCTGGGCAACTCTGGACTGCATGTATCAGTCCTGGGTTTGGGCGGTTGGTTGACGTAAGTAGGCCGCAGCTCTACACAAGCGACAACAACACAGGCACTGACTAGCATGTGTACGCAGGTTCGGCGGCCACGTTGAGAACGGTACGAAAAAATGGAGGGACTGTGTGGGGGGGGGGGGGGGGGGGGGAGAGATCTCACGACAACCGCTAACGGTCCGCAGAGAAGACGTTTGCGTGTATGAAGCAGGCTTACGACCTTGGTGTTAACTTCTTCGATACGGCCGAGAGGTAGGCTGCTGTCCCACGTTCGCCTCCTCGTCCGAACCAGCGGAGCTAACAGTCCCGCGCAGCTACGCAGGGGGGAACTCGGAGATCATCATGGGCCAGGCCATCAACAAGTTCGGATGGAACCGCAACGACATTGTCGTCAGTACAAAGGTAAAGCGGAAGACAGAAAACCCCTCCCTCTTCTCCACGATAGACATCATCTTGACACCGCGTAGCTCAATTGGGGCGGCGCCAACGGCGAAGTCCTTGTCAACAACCACGGTCTCTCGCGAAAGCACATCATCGAGGGCCTTCGCGCCTCCCTCAAGCGCCTCAATCTCGAGTATGTCGACATCGTCTACGCCCACCGGCCCGACCGCCTGACGCCTATGGAGGAGACGGTGCGCGCCTTCAACCATGTCATCGACAAGGGCTGGGCCATGTACTGGGGTACGTCGGAGTGGAGCGCCGACGAGATTGCCGAGGCGTGTGGCATCGCCAAGGACCTCAAGATGATCCCGCCTGTCGTTGAGCAGCCCCAGTACAACATCCTGGAGCGCCGCAAGGTTGAATACGAGTTCCAGAGGCTATACCAGCGCTTCGGTCTTGGCCTCACCGTCTTCAGCCCCATCAAGATGGGCCTGCTGAGTGGCAAGTACAACGACAACCCGGACGCACCGCCGGCGGGCAGCCGCTTCGCAGAGGGCACGGGTGACAAGTTTGTCAACTGGGCCAACAAGGAATGGTACGGCAACGACGAGTGGAAGGCCATGATCCAGAACGTTGTCAAGCTCAAGGTGAGTTGGCGCCGGCAAGACCGTGATTGGGGGCGACGTAATTAATGGTGTGCATCCAGGGTATTGCAGAGAAGCTTGGCGCCACGCAGTCCCAGCTGGCCCTTGCTTGGTGCTTGAAGAACCCCAACGTCACTTCCGTGATCACGGGTGCCTCGAGGCCGGAGCAAATCGTCGAAAACGTCGGTGCACTGAAGGTTCTGGAGAAGCTGACGCCTGAGGTTATGGCTGAGGTTGACGCCGTTGTAGGTGAGATCAAGCTCGACCCGGCGAGACAGGATTAGAGGGTGGCGCGTTTCAAAGGGAGTGATGAAAATCGTATTTCTGTGCGTCTTCCTTTTATTTTTTTTATTTTTTTCTTGGGCGGCGTGGTAACTAGCATACTATACCTGGGATAGAATGAGAAGTTCGTGTACAAAAATAATGCGTCGTTTACGAGCCATAGCTTTGCGCGGCCCTATCCACGGCTATTTAATATAGCGTGAGGTTCCTTCTACAAGTATTACTCGCTGGCGGCCGTCACATAGAGCATCCTGATGAACCAACCGCCTTTCGAGTAACCGTCCACTGGAAGCCGTGGGCCACATGTCCGGGTCAAATTCGGTGTGGCATCGTGGACTGAGGGAATCAAACAACATTACGCCTCTCCTCCGCCAATGGTTGTGCTCGGCGGCGGTGCTCGCAGGATGTCGCGATCGTTGGGGCGGCCGGGAAGAAACTCCGGACGAGACACGGCCCGGACGGCGAGTGACGGGACGCTCCAAAGACTATGAGCTGCTGTCATCCTTGCGCTTCCCTCTTGACTCGGACGTCGGCGTGCTGGTCGGTAGATCTTCCGGGACCACGTGGCGTATAGCAATGCGTCTGTTGATTAAACCCTTTGTTTTGCGTGATGAGTAATGGGTGCGCTGCGGAGCCGCAAAACTCTTTGGCGAGTGTACACAGGGATTAACGTATGCCAGCCAACGAGTTACTTCCTAGACTTTGCGGAGCCGCAGGACTCTTTGGCGAGTGTTAGCTAAGTAGGAGTTTGTGTATGCTAGTTTAGAAGATAGACGCTTGGGCCGGTGAAGGTTACTGGTCATGCAGTCGTTGTTGTGGCTCAGGAATCGTCGAGCAGAGAGGGTATATCTTTAAGCGCATTGCCGAAGATGGGATATAATTCAAGACCGGGACTTCGGCTATTTCTGCTCTGCGTTAAGTCAACTCTTTAATTTGCAGAGTGGAGAATGTCCGGGTTGGCCTGTTCTTGGATTGTTCGTTCCACGACGAACGGCTATGTAGGCCCGTCCACCTAAAGGGTAACGTTAGTCGCGCTCGCTACCTCTTCTGCCTCGTCAGTAGAGCAGTATACAGCCTCACTTGCGCCGCGCGTTCTACATAGTCGAGTCCGCTGGAATCATGACTGGTGGCGACCCTTTTTTTTTTCCTCCCCCCCTCCCCCCCCCCCCCCCACAACAGCGAGCCCCTTGTTTGCGGCCGTATCTTCAGAGATGAAGCCAACAGTCGGGTTGCGGACAATGCGTCTTCCTAGTATACGGGGGTTTGCTGGTGTGCATGGTAACGCAGAAACGGTAAGGCATGCATGGATGGGTAGAACAGAAGGTAGGTAGATTGCTGCGTGGTCGCAAGTCGGGAGACATTCCCTCTTGCTCCCATGTCTACAGGCAAGACATGTGGCGTCACAGAGGGGTAAGCGGTAGAATGTGACGGGAACAGGGAAGAAGCAACGCGACTTCTGGGGCGTTGACGCGGTTGGGTAGGGTGAGCGAGGATTGATGGTTTGAGATGGTTGTCGCCACAGCTTTGTACAGAGATCGCGCTGCCGAATAAGATGCGAGTATCAGGCCATATTGACGCTTGATAGTGGTGAGGGAGGGGGGCAGAGTTGGGGCCTTGTCCACGTTCGCGGTTGGTGTCATGAGCAACGGGCGGGAATGCAGTGTCGTTAGATGAGCAAAGTTGCTGTGTAGAATAAATTGAGCGATGAAAGACATGTGGCCGGACAGGGAGATAGGTACACTAGTCGCTACCCCGGGTTGCCAAGGGATGGGTGGGGGTAGGAGTGGGGGTAGGAGGGGGGGCCTCCCAAGGACCAAGGGACAACAGGTACCCATTCTCCTTCTCATACATACCTATGTAGTACTACAGATTCCTCGCTCGCGAGGGAAACGGACAGGATGAGAGGAGTGTCTGAGCTGCCTACGCGTCGTTGCACCATGGGCGGCGGCGGTTGCTGCACTGCTGGCGCGTGGGTGTATGTGTACGTAGTTTATGTGAGTTTGTGTGTAAAGGTTTATGAGCCAATGTGGACAGAAAAAGCTAGTGTTGGATCCGGCACGCACAACTCGAGAGCGATGTTGTCAGTAAGAACTGATTGATCCCCGAAGAGTACCGGTGTCTGTCAGAGATGGGTTAGAATGCACCAAGGGGGATTGGATTGGCATTGATGCGAATACCTAGTGTCCATCTGCTTGGGAATGGAACCGGAGACAGAGAGAGAGAGAGAGAGAGAAACAGCACATTTTGGAGGCGCTAGGTCGATATGGGAGCAATCTCCAACAATGCCAAGACGAAGATGAGTGCTCAATGCAGCAAAGACCGCATCAACAAGCAGTTAGCTGCGCTGTACCGAGCCGATGCGGGACTCGGATTAGAGTCAGGCAGGAAGGATACGGACACTGACTAAGGCGGGCCCCCTCCTCTATGCCGAGACTGACATCTGTGCCGAGAGCGATGAAAGTAAGGAGCCCGTTCCTTGCAAGCAGCGGCGGGTCGTGGTGCGGCGATGCTGCGAACGGACGATACTTGGTGCGTCACAGATGGTTGATGGGGAGCGGACGGGAGCTCCCAACTCTGGCGTGACCCGACCCGACCGGGTGCAGCAACGAGTGGGTGGATGGGAAGCTGCCGATGTGTGCGTGTGTGACATGTTCTGTCTGCCCTTGTCTAGGTAACCCACTCTCTCACCTAGATGGGACATACATCGTAGTAGACAGTCGTGCTCTTGTCTTGTACTGGTGGTCCGTGTTCATGGTCCTCCTGGCCCCTCCCCGGTCGAAAGGGAAGGAGGCATTGTCACTACCTACCTCGGTCGTTTTCTGGACGAGAAAGGGACCAAGTTGAGATAGGTGCAGAAACAAGCAGCTTATCTTGGAGAGGACATGATTCCAAGGTGCATCAGCCATGCTAGTAGACGTACAGTGTATGTAGTGTTGGTGTGTCGGAATTCGGCATCGGAATAAGAAGTCGTCGTCGTTGTCATCCTTCTCACTCTCGATGCATTATCCCTCCGTAGGTACGGATACCTTACTCAATGCAGCGGCTGCTTTCACAAGCCGACGCGAACTACGCCGGGTACCTCCGCATGAGCTGTACTGAGGAAGTTGCAGAAGAGTGAAGGAAAATGAGAGTGACGGAAAATGGGAGTCAGGGTAAGGACGAGTGTGAGTGAGAGTGAGCGTGTGTGGATGTGGCCCGTGGCAGGTACCTACCTACCTACCTACCTGGTACTACCTACGCCTATGTGCCCCTCTCTTCCTCGGCCTCAGCTCAATCACCTTGGTTTTTTAAACCGTTTGGGTGTACGGGCACTCAACTAAAAGCCACGGCTCATGGCACTATGACACGGGCAGAACGACACGAGCGGCCCCTGGAGCAGCCTGGAGCAGGTCCAATCCCCGAATAAAGATGTGAACACCCCCATGAAACGTCAGTTGGCGCTGGTGCTGGCGATGGCATTGGCGTTGTGGTGATGGCTGTTGTGTCCAAGAGATAATCCGGCGGGGGGGGGGGGGGGGGGGGGGGGTTCGGAAACACCAAAGGTCCTTGCGCCGGAAACCATGCCAGAGTCGGATGTATACAGCCCAGCCAGCCATCTTTGCGATCACATACCTTACGTAGGAGCAGAGCAGACAGAGTGTGAAATCTTAGCGCATGACAATCCATAATTCGATCGCCTTAATGCTAATTGCTGATGTTCCTCTGGGCTCATTGCGCCGCCCAGATCGACATATATCAAACATTATACATATACAGTTCATAAGCCTGAAATAGGCATCCGTACCCGGATCCGCAACCGCGCTCGCACCAGTAGCGACAACAAGGCAATCGCGGATGTACCCATGTATCCACATGTATTGGGGAATCAGACACGGGTCGCAGCAACTCAGCTGAGCCAACCATCCAGCGCCAGATCAGATATGCGGACAACACATGGACAATCCAAAAGTCTACCTGCCTAGTAATCAGTAGCGACAGTCTAGCCTCATGGTTGCTTCTGTAGAACACAGCCAGGCAACAACAGCCAGCGCAGAGTGCAGGATGCACCTTTTGTCCGTCTCTCACAGACCGCACAACTCGCTGTCTTGCCTCTTTATCCCCCCCTCTCCCCCACGGCCCCCTTCCCTTCCTTGCCTTTGCTTTTGAGGCTGCCGTGCCACAGATAGTTCGACCTTACCTCACGCTGTTGTCCTGCTCAACCACACCTGTCTATCAGAACTCCTCTATACTTCCTCACTCTCTCTCTCTTTCCCTCTCAATCTCGCACACCATACTCCAACAAACATACCACGCACATACGCCTGACCTCACGCTGTGGTATCGAATTGGGCCCAAGACACAGTTCTTTTCGGCCCTGCCTTTAGTCGCGCAGCTTCATTCCTCCCGCCTTGCTCTCTCCCATCCTCCAAATCTCACCACATTACATGCGTGCTGTATGCGACGAGTGATGCCATAAACCACCAACACGGCGCCGCGAGTTCCACTGCCGTTTCAATTCCAGTTCGCATTCCGCTCAGTCGCCACATCATCAAAAGCAGCATGACCTAACCGCACCGATATTTTGTCTTTCTTTGCCCGCGTGCCCACACACGCATACACACACAACAAACACACACTCGCGCGCGCGTGCGCCATTCTTCCCCTCCTCAACCCGACGCTCCTTGATCTGTTCCTGCGAGCATTTCCCTCGCTATCCGGCGACCAGACGCCCATCGACGTCGCCGTCCGTCACTGTTGCCACACCCGTGAATATCACGCGCCACCCAACTTATCCACCCGCCCTCGTTTAACTCTGCCAAACCGTCATTGTCCACCACGCTTTCGTCCACACCACAGCAGCCATCAGCCCCTTCATCTCTCGCGACCGCATAGGCATCCTTCGGTACCCTCTGGGCCTCTCTCGCCCTTGTCCTCGGGAATGACATGGCTCTACGCCCTCCTGCGACGGCTCGGCGACAATGACGAGGAATGAGGCGGGCATTCGCTTCAGCTCTCTCACGAGCACCAGCACTGACAGCACCCGCAGCCGATCCCCGGCCACGGTGAGACCTCCAAACAACACGTCGCCGGTATCGCGCAAGTCGTCCATGTCTATGCGCCTCAAGACGGAGGTCAATGGATCCCTCGCAGAGAAGTGAGTGTCATGTTTCCTGTATGCGTTTTGCCTTGTCGTGTTCTGCCCTGGTCCACCTACCCCCCCGTGCCCATACCCGTACCCGTACCCATACCCATCCCATACCCGTCCCCAGTCGATCAAGCAGTGGTCAAATAATCCACACAACACACAAGCCCTGAATCAGACTCCAGTCAGGTCAGCCCAGGCCAGCCCCCCATTCCCCAACCCACAACAGAAGCCCTTCCCTAGGCACACTAGTTCTCGACCCCAGTCCAAGTTGCCTTGGGTCGGGTGAGAGGGTCCTTCTGAGGTCTCCTTATAGCCCATTATTCGTGGGAAGTGTGTGAGATGGATGAGTTGAGTGGTGAGGCCGCCCCGGTCATCACCTCTCTCTTACCCCCCACTGTCCCCTGCCCCGTTGGCCCGTTGTTTTAGTGTCTAGTGTCTGGTGTCTGATCTGGCTGGCCTGGCTCTGTCCCGCACTCATCTCTGTTGCGTGCCGTCCCCGAAACCCAGTTCCCCTGCGGCGAGACGCAAGTGGTGTAGCTTGTGCCCTTTTCCTTTTCCTTTTCCTTTTCCTCCCCACCACCCCCCCCCCCCCCCCCATTGCCTGTCCCCCTACCTTGTTGCTGCCCTCGTTGGTTTGCTCTGCCTGGTTTGCCTGCCGCCCTGTTGTTGCTGGCTGATGCTACAGGGTAGCTCATTCTGTTGCCTTCTCTAGCTCGCATTGTGAGGTGTAATGTGCGTGCACCTTACCTTACCTACTTCACAGCAATAGCACGCGCTCCTCCCCTTTCCCCATTCTCCGCATTCACATTCATTACTTCCATCCCACCATTTCGTCCCCTCCAATTGAAGGGGCCGGCGACTTTAAGCCAACAAGCCTCACCTCTGCGTACCTTACCTGAATCCGAACCTGCACCTGCCTGCACCTGCACCTGCACCCCTCTCATCCAATCCTATCTACCCCTGCCCAAGGGAAGCTTTGTGATTGTCGTCGCTTCGTTAGTGGAGCTCTTCGCTCTTTTCGATCCCACCAGTCGGTCCCAAGCGGCTTTCAGCCCAGGCTGTCTCATACCTCCTCTCTACTCCGAGAACCTTCTCTTCTTTCCCCCTCTCAAGAGGTACCCTTTATGTTATTCTTCTTGTTATTATGATTTTGATCTTGATTCATCGACGAATGCATCCATAACTGACTGTGGTCCCTGCGTTCCACCCCCCCGTCTAGATCATTCATCAGTGATTTGAGCCCAGCCGAGCCGCCCTCATCCACTTTCGCCTCTGCGCCGCGTGGAGCTTTGTCACCAGTAGCACCCAAGCCGAACTCCAATGTCTCGCCCCTTCGCGATCACCGCCTGAGCGACTTTGTCAACTACCGTCGAGACCTGGCCGTCCTTGAGACATCCGCTGGCCGTCTGCCCTCCATCCAGCACAATCCTCCAACGGCCACTCCATCTTCAATCTCTCAAATCGCTCCCTGGATGTCGCCCTCCAACGGCGGTGCCACCGCATCCACCCCCCACCAGACGACCTTCTTCAATGATTCGAGCGATAACCTGTCTGTCGCGT